ACGCAATTTTTCTTGCATTTCATTTAAACTTATTGGATTGAATTAACGCCGACAGCGCATAAACCACAATAGAATAAATGCATTCTTTAAAATTCTCTCTATTTGTTTTATTAGCGACACTGTGGCGCTAGGTTCACTTAAACAGTGATTTATTTCTTAATAACTCAAATGCACAAAATTTGTATCATTAAAGAATTACCAATCGTTTGCCACATTTCTATCAAATACTATAATAACTAGAACGATGCATAAAAGAATTAAGCAAACAAAACAAAACTAACTTTTCACAGACGATGAATTTCTATTAATTAATTCGTTCTCACTTCGCGAAGGCAAAAATACATAATACTACTCAAATATCTGTATTAAAAATTACGAATAAATCTTAAACACTTATTTCCTCGAAAATGCCAGAAAGGATTAAAAAACATGATTTAATTCTCAATAATAAATGAAGCGTATGTTTGTGTTGCGAAGCTAGTTTCTCTAGATTGGCAACAAACCATTATCTGTGTTTCAATGTAACACGCAATGGCCGCCCTCAAAAAGCATTATAGGCTTAGCGGCACTTGAATACTTTAATTGTTGATAATCAAAAATATGCATAGATTTACTAAAGGCAAAAAAACATTAACCGAAAGTAAGAACCACATAATTCATCATTTTTAAAGCAAAAATGTACAATTTAAAAACATATAAGAGTAAAGAAAAGGAGATCACTCAGCCGGGTAGCAGAGTGGATATATATATAAATATTTATATATGTTTGGTGCGGCCAATTGCACCAAAATACGAGGTGCCATCTACACGTTATAAGCAGTCCTATATACAAAATTTCAACGTTCTGAGACTACTCGTTTTTGAGTTATGCGAGATATGTACGTACGTACATATGTTCGTACAGACGTCACGAAAAATTCTCTTCATATTTCATTAATTTTTGGAGGAAAAGAGTCTTTTATTCTGTTTTCACGTACAGATATCACGCAAAAACATCGTTAAATAGCATTCGATAGCGGTCAAAATGGATATTTTCGTTGAAATATGCTGCCTGAAGCTTTTCGCGATTACAATACTTCCTTTTTACTTCGTACAAAGAAGTAAAAAATATTTAAAATATTAAAATTCGTAATGTTCAAAAGAAATTGAAGCGTGATCATGATATATAGATCTCAGTTTAGCGCTTGAAATTATTTTAAGTTACCGGATTATGACAGGCCTAGAATTTACTGAAATTAGACGTATAGAAATTATAGATATGATGTAGTAATTAGAATTATAGAAATTATAGAAAATGTTATATTTATGTGAGCTGTTAAAAGTAGCAAAGAGAAATTGTAGAAAGGGAAATGTGGTATTATTTTTCATCATAATTATCTCCAGACGATTATTTAACAAAGACTTACACGCTTATTTCGTAAAGAAAAGATTTAGTTTGTAAAGCTTTTATTTTACTGGTTCGCTTGTCTTCGAGAATGAAAAAATGTTACTTATACAAATTCTAAATTTTACTTTTCCTACTGTTTCAATGATTTTATTCTTTTATTGCTGCATAATTATAATAAACTGTATTTCGTGTTTTTCATAATTTTTCTCAACTGAATAAATTTTTTGGGATAAAAATAAATATTTTAGTGTAAGAGCATTGAGGAAATGTTTTCAGTATACAATAAAAAAGGTAATTTAAAATTTTGCCATGCTTTTATCTAGATCGCAACTTCTTTTGTTTCGCAAATAACCATAATGAAAATATTAATCAGTTTTTCTTTATTAAAAGACTCGAAAGAAAACTTTGGAGGCTTTTATTACTTTCATTTCATTGACTTCACATCCGGTTCAAATGAACACTATTTCTATTTGAAGAATACATTTTTTTAAGGTCTCGCGCGGAAGGATCCATTCAAATACATTCTCAGCCAAGTCTTCAATTATTAACTCTTTCCCTTTTTTTTACTTCCTTGTACGAAATAAAGGAAGAATTGTAATCGCGAAAAATTTAGAGTATCATATTTCAACGAAAAAAAATCCATTTTCACCTCTCTCGAATGGATTTGAATTAGGCTTTTGCTAGATATCTGTATGTGCAGCAGAATATAGGACTCTTTTTTCCAAAACGGATTTAAAAGGATTTTAAAATAGATTCAAAAGAGATTTTTTCTTGACATCTGTACATTTGCATGTATGTTGCATAACTCTTTCTGTCTCTCTCTCTGTATACATATATACCGACTCTGTTACCCAGCTCGATGAGATCAGTTTTTTTATTCTTATATAATCTGATTGATTTAAGTAAAAAATGTATTTAATTCATGATACATCCAATTGAAAACGTTCAATATTTTTATAGAATTAGATTACGTACATTTTTATGGTTTTTAAACATACAGAAAATATATAGCATTTCCATGCTAGTTTTAAATGCATATTTAATCTAATATACTATAAAATGTTTACCTTGGCTATCTTTATCAATAATCTTCTACTGACAAACGATATTAAAGTTTAAAAGAGTCCTTTTAGACGATCGTTAAAATTTGGAACCTTTCAGATTTTTTTGAGTACTATTTTTATCACCCTTTTTTAATTACATAATTTACTTATTGTAGCCTGAGAGAAACAATTCACTTTTACTTTTTGATGTAAAATTAATATCGAGGAGTTCATTCTGGCTAAATAATGCTTTAGTTTGAGCTACTGTTCCACTTGAATAAGTATTGAATGCTATTAATATTTATAACGCTTTTTGCATTTAATTTTGTGATAATGTTTCTAATTTAGTGCTTTTATTTTTAGAAAATGCACTGAATATAGGATTTATGACATCTATTAAGTCATCAATCACACCTCATTTAGAAAGTTAACATTCCTGCTTTCGACTTTATGCATGAGCTATTCATTAGAAAAACAATAAACGAAACGGTAAAATGAATATGTAAAATTTAAGTTTTTTACGTTAGTTAGATTGGCAACAACTTTCGTGAGAATAATAATCTCGAGATGACACTGGCAAGTAGTCAACGCCGAAAAAAAATTTCAACTTTCCCTTCATCATCAGAATGTTATACATTTTATATATATTGTCAATTTAGGTCTAATTCTCTAAAAATTAATTATCTTCGTACAATAAAATGCCATTCGCTAAAGACAACACGGATATATATTTGTTTTACTTGATTGATCATGAGAAGAATTTCTTATAGTAAGAAGTAGAATTCTCATTTCAGCCAGTTACGGTCACTAAGTAGAACATTGAAAAGAAAGAAAGAATACACTTCTTTTAAAAATCGGACTTCGTATCTTCTAACACGATGAACCAGAGGGAAAGAATAAATACTTTTATTTTATCGTAGATCTTGAAAAAAAAAAAAAAAGTGATCTAATGTCGAACGTTTTATGAAAGTGTTTTTTTTTTCTCCCGCTTAATAACATTTAGTGTTTATTTAGTTAGACAATAAGGTAACAGGAAGTTTGAAATCTAAAAGAAAAAAAATCGTCTGCAATAATCATCGCTAGGAACATTCCGATACGGGAAAAAGTTTTCCTTTTCGATCGAGAAAGCAGAATTTTTCTATTTGTTCCATGTTCCATTAGCGTTTCGAATTATTACGTGTATCCTCAATTTCATTTTACCTAATTATTTATCGCTTATGAGTTCTTTTTTTAGTATTTAATTTGCCTTTCTTATCAACTGTGTCCTTGAAGTTTAGGCCATTGAATATTTCAAATGGATTGAAATCGAAGATTTTATTGCGGTAAAAAACCATGGGATGAAAATTTTAAGTCAAATGTTTCCGACATGAGAAGGACTTATATAGGATATATTTATCAGCTCCAAATTCAAATTGCATGCGGGACGAATCCACAAACTTAAAAAAAGGGAAAGATTTTAACGAGCGTCCAAAGTTTTTTTATGCCCTCGCTGAGTTCACAGTCTACCAGTCTCTGTTAAACTCACTCCTGCTAACTCATTACTTTTTGAGTTTTTATCTTTATAGTTCTCTAAGGAATAGAGATAATGATTTGATTCCTTCTTTTCATTTAATGAGCAGAGTTTTTAATAGAACGTGGTTCTTAAGTGGTGCGGTTAGTTATCATTATCATTATAAGGGTACAGCCCCGAGCCTCCTAGCCGGAATAAGCCGGCCGTATGATCAAAAATGGGACCAGAGAAAAAAAATATATATATATTAAAAAGAAACACATAAAGTCCAAAATCCGAGTCTCAGTGCCAAATTCCAATTGTATCTTTGTTCGAATTTATAATCTTCATTACTATCTCTGCATTATTGTCTCTGTTAGAGGTGATATAGGAAGCTTTTGAGCAATACTTAAAAGTATTCTGCTGAGGTAAATCGTCTTTCCGCATGCGAAGTTCGAGAACATCATTATGCGAACTAAGAGGTCGTCGACATCCATTTTATCTCTAGGCCTGTGGATGGTACAGAAAATGATTCGTGAGCACCTGCTTAGAACAGGTGCTCAAAGGAGGTATTCAGGAAGCTATAAGGAAGCTATAAAGTAATATATGACTTACTGTAAACAGCACTTCGATTTTTTAACCCAGACCTTCAATAATCAGTGAAGCATGAAGAAAACTTTCGACAAACAAATCGGCATTAAATTTATTTTGCATTTTGTCACCGGGAAAGAAAACTTTAGTGTAAGACATAGCTTACTTATGTATCTCAATCAGAAATTTAATTTGAGTAACTCACACAAATTAACAAGTTTCGTATTCGTAATACTTCAGACGTTAAGGCTTTAATGGAAATTTCGCTTTAAAGGGAACTGAACAGCTTGTTTACGACGAAATAACTAAACAATTACGATAACTAAATTGGAAACACAAATATAAACATTAATGAGGATTAATAAAATTACAAATAGATATACGAAACTTTATTTAAATACATAAACTAAATTTCTATCCTTAGATGCGAAGTAAAAATGCTGATACATTGTGTAATAACATTTCTTTTAAATGTTTTTTTTTCTTTCAGGTGTAGTTCTCATCACAGCTGACGATGGTGAGTTAATTTATGATACAAGATATTTATATTTTCAGTAACAAAGTGAACACTTTTTTATTTAAGGGAATTTTCAAATTAAATATTGTGAATTTTTGCAGATAAAGATCATGATGATGATGGTCAGCCTAACTATTGCCCAGAAGACAACGGCATGTTCCCAAATCCCAACAACTGTGCCAGTTACTATAACTGTGTAGATGGCACTGCCATCGCTATGAACTGCGCGCCAGGTCTTCTCTTTGATCCTAAGAAAAAAATGTGCAATTTTCCAAACCAAGTCAAGTGCTCTAGTAAGACTTTTTTTTATTAAATAAATAATCATTATTTTGATTGATAATTATTAACAGGAATTTATAAATTTGTGCTTTATTACTTGAGCTTTGTAAGATGCGAAGTACATGCATTTCAAATTTAAAATTATTAAGTTATTATCATTATCCTATTTTTTCATTTCCTTATACGAAGTAGAGGAAGTGTTGTAATCGGGACAAATTTCGGGTTTCAGATTTCAACTGAAATATCTATTTTTAACGCTCTCGAATCCGTTTTGCTATTTTGTTTTTAGCTTGACATTAGGTATTTTTTGGAAGCAGGCAAGAGAAATTGAAAAATTAGCAACCCCTTCGCCGGGAATCGAACCGCGGACCTCTGGAAACGCGCCCAGCGTGCAAACCACCATACCACGAAGGCATGCCAAGAAGGTGGGAAAAATAAAGCTCTTTACCTGTCTCTTCTAGCTTCAGCTTGTAATTTCTTACCAAAATGAGCTTTTAGAATCGCTTTAAATGAGTAGTAGCGAGTATTTAAGTCAAAGTTGACTAACTTCGACAGAGAGAATTAGATTTCTTGAATAGGCGCATATGTCTTTTGGCTACGTCTCTCTAAGCTGTTACTACGCTCAGACGCATTTAGTGTCCTTGATAGCTTCGCTATGTAATTTAATATTGTTACGTTATTTCCAATTCTTCTGTTCTGACACCAGTTGTTACGTTATTTTCTTCCTTCCCATTCGTACGGGGTTCGTAGATTTGGAGTGAATAACGACGACACTTGATGAAGTATCGAAACACACTTTATTAGTCAGTATTGTCAGGACAGCTCCAAAACACGTTTTACAGTGGTCTGTGAACTACTATAAACACGCTGGAACAATCAGCGACACAGCCTTCACACTCAGGCAATAACGGTGGAGACATGCTTCCTGCAAAGCACCCGAGTCTGCTTGGTCGTTCTCGGAACTCCACGTACTCTCGAGACTCTCCACGCTACAACTCGCGATGGCGATGCACTCGACGTCCACTGCTCCCGACTCTTCGGCTCAGCCGTTCCCGGAGCTTAACACACTCTCTCGACGATGCACTAACCGCGATACACTAAGAGACTCTTCGATACACTCGACGACCGACTCGGCACTCGCTGCCGACTCCATCGACTCCGCACGGACTAACTAACTCGAAACTATCTCGCACTCTAGACACTTCTGCATACCAGCACGGTTTATATAGTTTTTGGTTTGTGTTCGAGAGCATTCTGGGCTAAACCCGGTAAGAATTCGTTCCAGAAGGTTCTCCATCCATCCATGGCATACCGCCAATTTTGTCGCCAAATGTTGCAACCCTGCCTTCCCTTGCCATTTTATGGCAACCCTAAACTTGCTTTGCGGGGATGCTACCTTACCGCGCCTTGACATTTCGTAACAATACGATAAAATAAATTCTTCGTTTGAAGTGCTCGTAAGTTATGCAAATTTGATAAAACCCTCAGAATGAGATGAAAATGTATTTGATATTTTAAATATTATAAATGTATTTACAAACAATACGCAGCTATTTTAAAACAATTTTTAAATGTATGAAGTTCAATCTTTCATCATCTATAATAAATCTGATAGAAAGACATGTAGATATTAAGTGATAAAAAATCTATGCTCCCGCCGGCGGCCGAACGAAAACATCGCTGAACACCGGTAGTTCGACCTGGGATAGAATTCCAACGAAAAGGTTAGATGCATGGGTGATTTCCATAGCTTTCCCCATTGTAAGATAGATACGAACAACCAAGGGATACGATGCCAAGGGATATTGTCAGGACAGCTCCAAAACACGTTTTACAGTTGTCGATTAACTACTATAAAGAAGCTGAAACAATCAGCGACAGGTTATCAGGCTATCACGGTGGAGAGAGCTTCACCACAAAGCACCAGAGTACAGCTTTCGACTCTGCTCGATCGTTCTCGGAACTCCACGTACTCTCGAGACTCTCCACGCTACAATTCGCGATGCACTCGACGACACACAGAGCACAGCTCCTGACTCTCGGTTCAGTCGTTTCCGGAGCTCAACACGCTCTCTCGACGATGCAACTAACCGCGATGCTCTACGAGATTCTTTCGGTACACTCGACCACCCACTCGGCACTCGCTTGGCCGGCTGTCAACGCAATCGCTTCCGCAGGACGAGACACACTCACACGATGAGAGACGCACACTTTCTGACTGCAGACCAGCACTGTTTATATAGCTTTCGGCCTGTGTTCGGGAACATTCTGGACTAAACCGGTAAGAATTCGTTCCAGAAGGTTCTCCAACCGTCCATGGTATATCGCCGATTTTGCCACCAAATGGGCGATTTCTCGCCAAATGTGGCAACCCTGACTTCTCTTGCCATTTTATGGCAACCCTAAAACTGCTTTAAAGCCGTCTTACCGCGCCTTTACATTTTGCAACAATATTATGGGCTAACTAGTTTAGAAATTGTGTTAGCTTCGACGAAATTACTCTTAATTAGTCATTAGTTAGTTCTCATTTCTTACATTTTGAGTTCAAGCCCAAGTGGAGGCTTTGTTGTACGTCCTGAGAAAAGGACCATCTGTCAATCTTTATTTTGAGCAATAAAGGGTAATTAACCCTTCTTGAGTTTTACGCCTCTGTTTCTGGACTTAAGCCATTAGTCGCTTAGTAGTTCACTAGGTTCTTCCAAACTTAGTTAATAGATAAAAGGGAGGATCCCTACAATCTGAACGTAAGTATGTATACGCACGTATGTCGCAAAACTCAAAAACGATTAGCTGCAGAACGTTGAAATTTTGTAGTTCGGACTGCTTTAACATTGGCTTCTGCAGCTCCTTTTTTGTTGCTCAATTGGCAGTATCAAAAGTATCTCTTTCTGTCTATATATATTGTACATACACACCACACCATCATTATCAGGCTTAAAAGTCAGAATTATCAGTCATTATCAGGCTTAACCTGGCCTTTAATTTTGCAATCGTTGAATTGTAGACATATATTACCAACTACAGAAGTATTTTAAACATGATTGAACGCATATTTTTCGTGTTCTTGCATATATATAACCTAATAGTTTTACATGTTTACGGACTCTGCTTATCAAAGTGAAAATTAACATTACTAACTGATTCTCGGACTAGAATACCGTGGTGAAAGAACCAAAAATTCAAAGCATATCTACGAAGCCCCCCCCTCCCGAAAAAAAAGATAAAAAGAAAGTTTCTATTTCAATAGTCAGTACAGTATCTGCTGCAGGTGTTCTTCAGTTCAGTTATACCTCGAAAATGCACTTTTTATGACTTGAGGTCTTTTTTGATGTTTAATAACTCATAAAATAATGAAGATATAAACAAACTTATGGCATTTATTGATGGAATAACTTATATATTTTCCTTTTCGGGTTTAATATCTTTACTTTTGTAAATATCGTCTGCGCGTGTGGTTAATATCAGATAATTTCATTTTCCAGTCTAAATATCTGTACTTTTCTAAATATCGTCTGCTTATTAATTGCACTTTTCTCTCTCTTTTGTTTTTGGCAACTATTGCAATAATGTGCGCATATGAGGATCTGAACACCCCCCATGAATACCGTGAGGCACAAAGGGATTCCCCAAGGCTTAATGTGTGGTGTGGACTAATGCACGATCGAGTCATTGAGCCTTTCTTTTTTTATATAGAAAAGACGGTCTCATCAGTCGTATACTTAGACATGTTGGAAAACTTCGTATTTCCACAACTAGAAGAGCTTCAGCCACATGTCTGTTTGCATCAAGATGGTGCACCACCTCATTGGGGTACCATCGTTCGTAGTTCTTTGAATGACCGTTTTACAGGAAGATGGTTTGGGCGAAGAGGTCCAATTCCTTGGCCATCCAGATCACCTGATATAACGCCGCTGGACGTTTTCCTTTGGGGGTTTGTAAAGGACAACGTTTACAGGAGAAGAGTGTGGAACATGGATGACCTAAATGCCAGAATTACAACCGCAATAGCCTCTGTGGATGCCGACATGCTTGCCGGTACCTGGCGTGAAATTGAATATCGACTTGATATTCTCCGTGCGACGAAGGGGGCACACGTGGAAGTTCATTGATGAGGGTCATAAAACATTTTGAGTCTGTCTAACCATTTATGGTATTGATTTTAATCTATCTTTATTATTTTATGAGTTATTAAACATCAAAATGGGTCCGGGACTTTATAAACTCTCTGTATTTTGTTTACGTTATGTGCTTCAGTCTGCTCATATACTGAAATCGTATGGGGGACAGTGTCTGATATGTTCCTTTTCTCTCACTAGCTTCAAATCAATAATCTCTGTGCATTTTAATGACAGAATTTTTTGAATCCTGTTATCAGATAGGCTAGAATAAATATGTAAGTCAGCCCGTATTTCCTGCGTAATAAAAGTGAAGGCATGAAATGTCACGACTTATCATGACCGCTGCCATAAGCGGACTTCTGGTTGGCTTTCGTTGACATTCTAATCGATGTTGTTTACGTATTAGCTGTTGATCTTTGAACGTTTATAAGTCTCCCATTGAAATTTTAATACTTACCATAAAAGATTTTCTACTTAGTATGTAGAGAAATGGCAAAGATTGCAAATAAATGTTTCAAATTTAATAAAATCTAGGTACCTTCATTCATGTGTAAATGGTAACTTTATATTTTCATGTATACATGTTAAAACCTGGAAAATTAGTATAAGTTTTAATGCTATTTTATGCCAAATTATACCTAAAGACATTTTTCTGAGCTTGCGGATGTTGATATTTGTTCCCAATTTCAGTGTAATTTTATTTACCAATATTCTTTGTAGTCTTATCCACACGCTGTAAGGCGCCCACAATAAGTCGTGACGTCATGATTCTGACATTTCCTTGGCCTTCACTTTTGTGACGTCGGACTTACTCCATCTATTTTTATCTTCTTGGCTGTCTTGCTTCTTAAGTATTTATTTATTAAAATTTTTTTATGGCTGTCATTAACCATTTTTAGGCTTTCGCCTCTACTAAGGCTAGAATTGGTTGTCATTTTATTATGGCACCTAATAGATGGCCACCGTTACCTCCTTATGAGGGAAAAGACAGTTTACATCGATGCCTTCTCCGGGATTTGAACCCAGGCCCTTTGGTATCGCAGTATGCTTCCCTAACCGCTATAGCGTCTGAGCGGCATATATTTTAATATAAGTGCGCTCGGTTTACATAAATACAGTAATTTTTATGTACTTTTTAGATAATTTTTAATACAGTTTGTGAATGGCAACAATATTTAATTTCAGCTTTATTGCTGTTTTAAACAGAATATTCTTTAAGTTTACGTAATAAAATGTCGGATTCTCTCGACTTGCATGGAAGATTATATTATGCTGTAAATAAAAACATCTATATTTGAAAATCTTTGATGCGTAATGTTTCTTTATCAAAGCTTTTGTGGAGACTGGGGTTCAAAAGTAGATAACTTAGTAGGAGAAATTTCTCGGAATTTTCGAATTGTATCTTACAAACGGCATTTGATACATACAAATTTGCGTATTTTAAAAAAGCAGATAAGAGGAAAATAACATTCACGGCATGGAAGTCATTCAGATTTCATTTAGAAAGCAGAGATAGATTTCTTCTTTTAAAGGAAGGTAATTTTTGCATTTACAATTTTTTCCAGACGCGTTGTAAAATTGATGAAACAAAACTTAAATAAATATTTCTGCTGTCTAGTTTCTATACACATATTGTTTAGTTTCTATACACATATTTTTTCTATACACATATTGTTTAGTTTCTATACACATACTGTTTAGTTTCTATACACATATTTTTCTATACACATATTGTTTAGTTCCTATACACATATTTTTCTATACACATATTGTTTAGTTTCTATACACATATTACTCATATTGTTTAGTTTCTATACACATATTTTTTCTATACACATATTGTTTAGTATCTATACACATATGTTGTTTGTTATAACGTTTTTTATGCATCATACTGTTGAACTTCCTTATAACCTAATTTCATTTACTTTTAATTAATTAAATTTTCATGCATGTATTTAATATTGCTCCTTATTCTTGGGTGTTTTCTCAACTTACAGACATGTGTCGAGCTCCTAACGGTCTCTTTCCAAGTCAGCACCGTTGCGATGAATTTGTCCTTTGTACCAACAACAAACCCGAAGTTAAAAAGTGTAAGAAAGGATTGTATTTCGATGCGAATCTCCAAGTCTGCAACTACAAGGATCAAGTGCTTTGCAACTTACGTAAGAAATGTTTTCTTAAATTTTTTTAAATTTAATTTTGATGATTTTTCTCATGCAAAGCAAACGTACTCTTAAGAAATTTGTATATATGAAAACAATTTTAGGAAAGCTGCATGTGAAATTGTAGTATCAGAAAGTAACATAAAAATTTTGAAGAGGTCGAAGCTCTGCCGGAAAAGTAAGATTACAGGCTAAGTCTATTTAACGTTGAGGTAAATGGCTATATTGCTAAATAGGCGAGAATTCGCCAAAGGTTGCCAACTTGGCGACCATTTGGCACCATTTTGCCCGGTTCCTGTATAATTGTAATTGGTTCTGTAGCTGAATAATTGTAATTGATCCCTATATTATATAACTGCAATTCACTCCTTATATATAACTTTAACTCAGAACTCGTAATAGCTTCGCAAAATTTATTTTCTGAAAACAAACACTTTACGGTTCTGAAACTTTCCACAATAGTAATCGTACAGCTGTTCTCAAAATAACAGAGCACGATCAATAGTTACCATTTCAAACTACTAAGAGTTAAACACAACGCAATGCAAAACGCAACTAAAGAGTGCGAAGATATCTCAGTACTCAAAACTTAACTCTGAACTAAACAACTGAGGACTAATGCTCTCTCCGGAATTATATAGTTCTCCCCAGGCCACCAAGAAACTTGCGGTTTCTTCAAATTCTGGAAAGCATATATGGTTAAAGTTGAATATAAGTTCAGGATACAGTTACACAGAGGGATCAATTACAGTTATTTAGTTACAGTATGAGTTGCAGTTATACGGGGTCGGACCAAAATGTCGCCAAATGCTCGCCCAGTTTGGCGACTTTTGGCGATTTCACGCCTAATCTGGCGACAAGAATTAATTGGCAAAACCACCGCTAGCTTCGCGATATCTCGCCAGGTTAGCAAGATAGCCATTTACCTCAGTGTTAAATTATACATTGCGTGATTGCGAAGAAAATGATGCTTCAAAATAAAGCTAAAAAGACAAAGAAAGCAGTGCGAGTGGTTGCAATAGCAGACTGGTAGACTGCAACCTCAGCTAGAGCATAAAAAACCAAAACAAATCCTTCTGGGCGACCATGAAAATCTGAAACATTTCAGATCTTTTTACACATAAAATTGTATTTTTAAACTGATATGGAATCCACAGTACACTGTTAGTGTGTTTTCGCTCCAAAGGTTGTAAGGATCTTAAGTTTTACTAACGTTTATTTTATTTTAAATCTTTACTATCACTTCTTATTTTCTACTTCCGGCCAGAATTAAAAGCTTTAACTTATTTATGCAGATTTGTCTCGCGAACGCCAAGTACTTAAGTTGTAGCTTTTTGCCAAGCAAGAGAGAGGAAGGAGCTATTAGAAGCAGGCCGCTTGCCATAGTAGTTTTACTCGGTTGCTGGTTGCCTTCAAGGCCAGAGATTTAATCCTCTTGATAATTTTAAGCGTATCGTAGTGTTAGCAGTTCTCTGTACTACATACGGCCTTTTGCTAATATACGGCCAATCTTGGAGTAGGCACTTGTTTGATTAATCCAAAGTTAAGTTTAGTTAGAATTTAGTTAATATTTTTATATTCTTACGTTCAGACCACAAGTGGTTGGTCTCTGTATTCCGAAGTCCGGAAATCATTGTAAAGAGAGAAAAATAAAGGATTTCGTATACCCTTCCTGTGTGTATTGTCTACTTCCTACATTTATTGAACATAGCTTTAGTAAGCTCCCTGTTCCGAGTCAGGACATTTAATGTTCCCAAAGCAAGTAAGGAGGAACACAGAACCTGATAAGGTTATGATTCCAAAAAATAAGAAACGGATAAAATGCCATTTTAATTGTTTATTCGAACATCTCTCAAAATGTATAAAATTGTACGCCTGGCTGTATAGCAGAATGTGATAGTTGATTTTCCAGAAATCCCTGTAGAGTACAATTCTATAAATGAAATCTTATTTACTATTTCTCAGTACAATATCCTTCATCAAATATTTTAATTGAAAGCTTTTAAAACAAGCTCTCAAGTATCCTTAAATACTTAAATAAATGTTAAATGCCATTGACGGTGAGTATGCTATGGCTTTTTTACTTTGTGTATGGTAACTCAAAAGATGTTCAGAAAATCGTTTCTTAATTTATGTAAAACTAGCTGCTATGCGGCCATCCTATGTCTGGATTTTAAATGTACCGGAAATATGCCTAAGGGGAACACCAAACATTAAACTCAAAACCTGTACCTTTACTCTGCAGACCAACTTTATAAAAAAATCAATAAAAATGTATCACATATTAAAAAAAACTACAATGAAATAAGCAGCATCTCCTTCATACAAATATTAATTATCCTAATAAATAAATTAATCAACTTCCCGTTGCAAAATCTTAAGAATTCAATTGGTACAAAGGGATTTAAGATCTTTGTTTCCTAAAAGAGTCATGCAAAACTTTTTATGTAATTAAAATTATAATAGGGGGACCGGAAAGTGATGTCGTTTCTGCGCGTGCTAAGGGCAGAAGTGGAAGCAAATCCATGTCAAACACTCTTAACCAACCTTGGTCGACCACCCAAGAACATTTAAGGGGGCTGATACACCTTAAACCCCTTATGATCTTCGAATATGTGACTGTTGCAAGAATTGGGATGACTTATTTATTTTAAATGCCATTACTTCCAACCTTTTACAGCTGACTACATAATATAGCTGCTTTGGAAACTAGTAACAAGAAAGTTTCTCTTGCCACAAATAGTTTTGTAATTTAATCCTCTTTGTGACAAAATATTTCGCCATGTTTCCACCTTGCGCGCATGATATTTTAAAAATGGCTAATGGTACCTGCTTGAAATTCGATGGAATTCTTTATATGGGCACTATTTTCTAACTGAACCAAAAATCTGATGAATAATTTAATATTGAAAAATTTTATGGACGAAAACCTTACAATTTTTTTAATAAAATACATTTTATAAACTCAACTCAAAATAAAATAAAAATTTAACAAGAAATTTTTAGAATTTTAGGTTCACAGTAGTCTCCAAATGTTATAAAAGTTATATATTAAATATGGAATTAAATTATGCAATAGAAGTTTTTAAACTGTGCGCGCAAGGTTGAAACAGGACGCAAAATGTTGTCACAAAGCGGATTAAATTATAAAAATATTTGTGGCAACACAAACTTTCTGATTACTATTTCAGAAAGCAGCTATATTATGTAGTCAGGAGTGAAAGGTTGGAAGTAATTGCTTTTAAAATAAATAAGTTATCCCAATTCTTGCAACAGTCACCTATTCGAAGATCTTATGGGTTTTAAGGTGTACGAGTCCCCTTAAAGCAGAATGGAAAAATAAGCAAAGCAGGTGTTTGAGTACCCCATAATCTGTCCGAAAAGAACAAAGCCAACCTATCCATCACATGAAACATATTGCTGCAACAGCACCATACAGAACCGTTTTTTGATCGTTTGATTAGTGGAGACAAAGAAATAAGTCCTATATGATGATCCAAAACTCAAAAGGCAGTTTTAATAGGGGTTACAAAGGGTTTACATCCCGAGAAGGTGCTTCTGGGTGTTTGATGGAGTATTCGCAGAATTGTTCATTTTGAATTGCTGAAACCTGAACAAACTGTTAATGCAGACCTCTATTGTGAACAACTGGATGGAGTGAACCAATCTTGAATCGAAAAATATCAATTGTCAACGGAAAAGGCGTCATTCTGCAGCACGACAATGCAAGACCGCACTGTGCAAGACGAACACTGGAAAAAATGAATGAATTGGGGTGGGAGGTACTGCCATACTCACACACCATACTCGACCGATATCGCAACATTGGATTTCCATTTATTAGGATCCCTACACCATTTTCTTAGTGGCAAATTTGAAAATTTGGATGATGTCCAAAATGTCCTCTCGAGATATTTTACTCAAAAACCAATTCATTTTTATCGGTCCGGGGATTGAAAATCTGCACATTAGATGGCAAAAGGTTGTAGATAACGAGGATGATTATATTATTGATTAAAAATAAAAACTTCTTAAATGTATTCGTTTGAATTCAATGTAAGAAAGCGACATTACTTTCCGGTCTCCCTATTATATAATTAAAACATAATATAAAAAATTATAATGAAATGAGCTATAAATCTCATATTTTCAAGAGAAAACAGTCAGCAGTCCAGTATCCAAAGCAATGAGTGAAAAACTGTTGCTAAAAACCACATTTCTAAAAGAATGAAAATTTCATCAGAAAGCAATAACCAACAAAAAATTGTGATTTGTGGATGACGTAATTCAAAATATACAAACCTCTCTGCCATTAGCTAATAAAGAGAGAGAGATAGGAAAGGGAAATTCTTTCTGTTATGCCTCGCGAGACACATGCGCGTCAGAATAAGAAGATTAGGATGTTCGTGTAGAATTAATAATATTTTATTTCATATTTTCAACAGTCAACAGTCCAGTATACAAAGCATTGAATAAAAAACTGTTGCCAAAACCACATTTCTAAAAGAATGAAACTATTCAGAATGATGCAATTTCATCAAAAATGATAAAATAAAAAAAATCTGATTCAAATTTTGAAAAAATCACTTCGAGTTGCAGTGGCTCTTGTCTAGATGTACCTAACCTATGTACCAAATTTCCTAGGCCTGGGTCTATTAGCTTACGCGCAGCACGAACGAAAGACACACACAGAGACTCTTTCTTTTATTATATGTAGAGATAATATGTCTAACAAAGTGTCTGATTTTAATGTAGAATATATTACTTAATTCAATATTCTTAATTTTTCAATTCTGTTTATCTTTCAGCTGGAGGCGGCAAGAAAGGAAACAAGACTGAAGGTAATAATAAAAAAGATGATGATAACAAAAAACAAAAAGATTCTGACACAAAAGGTCGAGTGCAAGTGGGACAATACGTATCTGGGGAGAACCTCTTCACCATTCATGGCGAACTGAAAAAGGGACATAGAGAGCTAGCAGCCGCTAGCGTGAGATCTGTCTGTCCCAAAGCTCGGGGTCTATTCGCCCATGCAGAGTCATGCAATATGTTCTACCAGTGTTACGACGGTGAGGTCTTGATGAAAAAATGTCCGGCTGGGTTGCTGTTCGATGAGTATCGTCATATGTGCGCTTATGGGAGGGAGGTAGATTGTGGTGATAGGATGGTCTCCCGGCATCCAAATTATCCTTAGTTTTTTCCTAAATCATTTCTTTAATTAGTAACTAATTTAAGGACAGGTCTGGAGCAAAGACGGCGAATGTATGACACGTAACACGTATACCAGAGTCGGAAAGTCGTATGAATTTTGTTAGTAGAACGATTCTAAGGTGAAAAGTAAATATATGTCTTGGAAGGAACAATTTTTTTTTTTTTTTACTCATGCCATTTGATTTCATTTAAACAGATGAATGTGGTCTTAATTTTAGAAGTAGAAGTAATTATTCCGCATTTTTATGCGAATATTTTATCTGCGAAATAAAACATAGGTTTTTGACTCCTTTAATGTTATTGACATTTGCGAAATTTCGATTTTACAGATTTTCTTGTCTTTATGAGTTTGCACGCTGGGGTTAAACGAAAAAAACAGTAAAGTTATGCCTATGTGTGTTTAGTGTATCTGAAGCATATGCCATTTTTGTGAGAACGGTTATCCTGGGCTCTTTTTTTATTATGAAATACCCGTAGAGCTTATTAATTAATTAATTAATTAATTTTTATTTTATCTTAATTTTTATCTTTTTATCTTTCTTTATTTTATTTCAGACATAAAACTAGTTGTTTCTCACTTATTATATAAATTTACGTATTATAAATGAGTTTTTAAAAATAAAGCATGGTTAAAATAATTCATGGAATTAAAAAATGGATGCTTAATTACGATTTTCTGGCTTGACTCCTATTGCGTGTAAATGCCTCGTAAGTTTCGTGAGGGGTTATAATAATAATGTATCGCTTTACAATTTTCCCATGCAAACCTGAAAGATTCGCCGTCTGTGCTCTAGCGATTACCCTTAAGTAGAATTTAGCTTCAAGAAATCAAGGTTCTTTTTATTTGCATTGCAATCAAGCAGTGGCGCCAAATAAGAATAAGCTATAATTTTTCTTCTTGCAAAGTATTTTGGGGAAAGATTTCAGCACTAGATTTTCATGTCTAACGGAGTCTTCGTATATATTTTATGAAGTGTATTTTGTATATATGCATAATTCATTGAAATGTTTGGAAATGAATTTATGATCGCGATGAAATGTGATAATACTTTTTGCGATATATCATGCAAACATGCGAATTAAAGCACAAAACATATGCATACAGCTATGATGAATCAAACGTACACTTAAGAACAGCAACGTAATTATGATGAAACATACATAAAATAAAATAAAAATATAGATTAGAACCTTTATAAACTATTTCATAGATTTACGTTTCTATATGAAAAAAAAAAAAAAATAGCAGTACACTAGTTAATTATGAATGAAATTCGTAAAATTCTGAAATGCCAATTTCTAGCTGTAAGAATTGAGTAATTGTTACCTATTTTCTTGTAATAATAGTCAGACTTATATAATGTGTAAATGCGAGTTACTTTTGTAAACATTTACAGGTTATTCTCGATAACAATATAACACAATTTTATTTCATATCAGCCTGAAAAATATTGCACATTAATTAAAGATATTTACTTAAATATACTAATTAGATAATATTAATATGAATTATATTGGGAGGAAAATAAATTTTGCGAAGTGGGAGAAATGACAACCGTTTTTTTACCGAAAGAAATAAACAGAGCAAAGCCAGGGCGAACGTTGTGCCATCTATTTCAAAAATTAGTAGTGAAACTTGAAACTTATTAGAATTAAATCAAGAAGATAAGTTTTTGTAAAGTTAAAAACTTCAAGGAAATCAAACAATTTTTGTAAAAATTTCTTACAAAAAGTTTTTACAAAACCAAAGTTCTAAACTATGATCGAGTGTCCAACAATGATTAACAATGGAAAATCTTTTTGTTTCTTCTATTCGAAGGTAAGATTCGTGTTCCTTGACGCAAAAATTTATATCTTCAAATTAAGTGTCAGTCGTCAAATGAAGTGTCATATGGTCAATCATAAATAAAATCAGGTGCTCTACTATAATTAACTATCGAAAATCTGTTAATCTTCCCTATTCGAACGTAAGATTCGTGTTCCTTGACGCAAAAATTTAACGTTCTTTTTAGTTTGGCCGATGCATGATAAATGATACTGACAAAATATGCTATAAAGTTCCAAGAATTAAAATCTAGATATGGGATTAGTAAGATCAAGATATGAATAGTAAGATCAAGAATAGAACAGAAAATTTTACTGTTAGGTAAGAAAATGATCTAAAAGCACTATAGAGTTAGTAACTCATAGTTACGTTCTAATTATTTTAAATGAGTGAAACTACCTGTCATACAATTTTATTAGGAAACAATATCAAACTATCTTTTTAAACTACAGTTATTATTTCAAATAACTGCATTCTTCAGTAGGAAAAAGTATTAAATTAATTATAAAATAATTACTTATTTCTATTCCAAAAATGCACTTAGAGAGTGTAATTTAAATCACCCAATATTGATTAACAATAGGCATTATTTTGGCTAATTTTCAGTACAAAGATGTTTCCGTTCATACTTCCGGGGTTTGATTTACAAACCGGAAGCAGCACGTAAACAATATATTCAAGATTTAAAACTTTTTTTTCCGAGTTTGAAATCTGATGGGAACGAGAGATCATTTTTATTTTCAGGCGCATTTATTTTAGGCGTAAACAAAAATTTTCTGCTTCATCAGTGCCATCTGTAGAAGTCCTCTTCTTACACAGATTAAAATGGCGATATATTTATATTTATAAGCAGACTAAAATAGTAGTGATGTACAGGATTAAAATATACATGCGTCCGATTTCAATTTTCGGGCAATTTTTTTTCCTTTTTATTTTTGGAGATTCTTTTTTATTTTAATCAAAATTTTGAGAACTTTAATATTCATTCCTTCCTTGCAGCATTTCATTGTTATATTAAATGTAAAATATTTCCAATAATAAGAAACCTAATTTAAAATCCCATAAAAAATGTTACTCGTAGAGTATTAACTACCGAACAGGAAAATTATTAAATATCTTAAATACAACATAGTAAAAAAAATATTTTAGGACAGTAAAATTCTGACTATAATTATTTAACTTGCTATATAATGAACAACACATTGTTTTAATTAAAAATCATTTGAGAAAACAATAACTTTACTCACATGAAATTTAAAAATGCAATTTAGCAATACCTGGAATCTGTTCTATTAGCGTGCATACCTAGTTTGACCTAAATTCGCAAACAGCAAAATTAAAATCTTCATACTGAACAGATAGAATATTGAAAAGTTGAAGAAAAGATACAAGAATAAATTTGAATCATTTATTTAAATACTTGGAACTGTTTAAAGTTTTCTACTCCAAACTATGTTTAACACCTTTCGATTGATTCATTACACAACTTAAGACAATAAAAGTTATGCAAAAAAAAATTTTAAGTCTCAAATTTAAAATATAAAATAATGTAACAGATTCATTTTTAACTGATAAATGAATTCGTATTGCTGGTTTGAAAATTTAATAGCACCTAATGTTATTTGTGCAATCAGTTTCAAACTTTAAAATCTTTTTAGTGTAGTGTATAATTTAGTGTATTAGGAATAAAATACTACTATGTATTGCACAAATTTTGTACGCTAAAAATAACAAGGGGGAATTTAAAAGGTGCAGTTTGTGTTTTAAAATAACAGCTTTGGAATGTATGTGATTTTCTCCGTTATATATCCTCCTAAATATGTTTTGAAAATTATTGTAAAACTTATCCAGAGAAGTTTTATTGAGAAATTAGTTTATATTTTATGCTTGAACTAACCTAATGCTTTTAGATATAATAAGAAGTTTGCCTTCGATGTAATTATCAGTGAAGATAATGTGTTATTATAAAATACTAGCTTTTAAAAGTCTGAAATAATTTTTATCTTAAGTCATGTGGGAAAACAGTTCTGTTCAGATATTAAATCTCAGATTTTTGTGTGAGAGCTATTTTTTATTTATTTTGATGAAATTATTAATGATGATAATATTCTTGATTAGGTTAAATATTACAATTAATAGTATTAACTTAAACGAAGCTATTAATCAGATTTGAAACTGCCTATTTAAGAAGAATTTGTAATTAAAAATGGAAAGAAGTGATTCTATTATTTTGTAATACAAAGATTTATGATGTATATCATGTAGTATAGAAAAGTACTTTTATAAATATTGTGCTTTAATGATTATGTTCCAGCAATTAAAATGTTTCTTTTAAAACTATCTTGGTATATTTGTAATATAATTTTGTACCTTAAAGCTCAATAAAGAGGATTTTAAGATATGTGTGTTCTTTTATTTGAAATCGGACGCAACGTATATTTTTTACAGACACTTAGAAAGCTCGTAAATTCGATGAAATTCCGAATGCCTACGTTAAATAAAAATGATCAGCCCTTTTTATATAACATTTATGTAATTTAATGAAATATAGCTTAGATTCAGAGCGAATAGAGCGAATAGTAATTTCAGACTTATATTTGGTAATGGGTTAAAAATTTCAAGTAATAATATATTAAAAATTCAGTTAATACTTAAGTAAAAATAGTACTATACAGTTTTTTACCATTCGAATTTATAACTCTATAACGTTTCTTTTTCTTTAGAAACATAAAATGTACAAAAAAGTCTTAAAGACTGAGAAAGTGAAATATCACTGTGTCTTGTAAAGCTACGTTCAGACGGCGATGTTAAGGCTGTGTTCAGACGGCGGCGTAAAGGGCATAGAGGCGTAGTCATAAGGGCATAAAATACGGGAATTCCTTTCACACATGCGAGAACGGGGTGTAAGCCGTAGCCAATGAGAGAAGCTAAATTTGCGCATGCGTGGATGTGTCTACAACTTTCCCGCGCTATTCTCCTGCTCGACTGATTTCCCGCGCTCACTCTGCTTGTTTTGTGACAGCGAAATCTTCTGTAGAACGCCGCTTCGTTTTAGCTTCGCTCTAATTGGTCGACGCTTATCCCAAACTCGGCGGAGAAGTTGAAAACTTTGAACCCTATGCCACAAGCCCTAAACCAGATTTTCTGACGTTGCACAGACTGGTTGCCTTGGCAACGGAGCTCGGCTTTAATTACTTACGCCCTTTATTCCCCCGTCTGAACGAAGCTGTCATAGAGGCATAGTCACAAGGAATAAAATGCGGGAGTTCCGTTCACACCTGCGACACATGGTCTAAGTAGCACCCACTTAGAGAAGTTAAAATTTGCGAATGCGTTTGGGATTGCGTCTACAGCTGTCCCACTCTATTTTCCCATTCAGGTTTCGTGAGCTCGCTTTGATTGGTCGGCGCTTATCCTAAGATGGCATGAAGTTGAAAACTTCGATTTTTATGCGAACAGCCCTAAAGCAGATTTTGTAACGTAGCGCAGACTGTTTGCCTGGAAACGAAGCTCGGCTTAAACCACTTATGCCCTTTATATTGTCGTCTGAACGCAGCCGTAGAGGTACCACACCATAGAGACATGAAGGTACCACAGAGACTGCGAAAGGTGTAAAGCACCTCTTTATTGAACTTAAATAAAAACTGACAGAAGGCACCCATTTATACTTACAAAATATATAGCCAGCAGTTATGGCTTAATCAAAAATATTAAATTTGGCTTAACTAAATAAGTAAGTTAGCCTGAGGACCACAAAATTTAAGCAACGCGCAAGTTGGCTCTGACTTAAGGGGGGTGTGACAAGCCTAATGACGAAAATAACTCAACGCTGCAGAATATTACTCTCAGGAGAATAGAAATTAGTAAAGTGGTGTTCAGCAGGCAGAACAGGCTTTGATTATACCCTCTAAAAACTTCATTTAAATACTTTCCTTCTCTTTTTACCTCATTGGAGTATCACGCATGCTGGAAATTTAGATTTTGGTAGGAAAATGGAAATGAGGAGGATAGGAAACTTTATTAATATAACTAGTTAAAAACTAAACGAGACCGTACAACAATTTTATTTCAAAGTACACGATGTAAACGACGTAAAAACATTCTTTTCTGTGGGACAGGAATACGAAATAGTTTCTCTTAGAAAGTTTTTTAAAAAGGCATCTTTCTTTAAAAGAGATAGCCATTTGCCAAACCAAATTAACCGACCAACAAAGTTAGGCAAATTTCAATATTCTTTAGACAAGATTTTAATGTTAGAGAAAATTTAAATTTAAGCATTTATTTTAAAGAAAGACTTAGCACCTTAAAAAAAATCGTTCTGTATCTAAAATAACACTCCATTAAGAAGCAATTAAACTTTTATTTAAATTTCCTTGAAAAAAGAAAACAAATTACTTTATACAACTTTCTTAGCAGCAGTTAAATTTATTTTGAAAAATAGAAATATACAGAACAACAAAGAAAAAGGAAGCTTTTCCTTTTAGAAAATGTTTTATACAGCTACAACTGATTTCCTTTACCTAAGAATCTATATCTTATTCCCGAACAAAATAAGAATAACATTTGAGGACTCAGTTTTAATGCTTTGTGTTCAACAGGGAAAAAAAACAGGGCCGAGATTAGGTTATCTTTTTTAATGTATGAAATGAACAGAATTCAAATTGCAATATGATATTAGGATTCTGCATATGGTGCGTGCGCAACATTTGCCTTCTGTAAGAGATTGAGTAACTAGTTAACAGTAATCACATAAAAACATATAATTGTGCAAAAAGTTTAGTAAAGAGTAATAACAAAATTAGCAAAGCAACAACCTTGTGGTTGGCGTAGAGTTTAGTCAATAACTGAATCGATTTCGAGAGCTAACAGATGCAGATCCCTCTTTATCAGGAGCAAAGAAATCTGCAATATGATATATTGCAATATGATATTAGGATTCTGCATATGGTGCGTGCGCAACATTTGCCTTCTGTAAGAGATTGAGTAACTAGTTAACAGTAATCACATAAAAACATATAATTGTGCAAAAAGTTTAGTAAGAGTAATACAAATTAGCAAGCAACAACCTTGTGGTTGGCGTAGAGTTTAGTCAATAACTGATCGATTTCGAGAGCTAACAGATGCAGATCCCTCTTTATCAGAGCAAGAAATCTGCAATATATATTGCAATATGATATTAGGATTCTGCATATGTGCGTGCGCAACATTTGCCTTCTGTAAGGATGAGTAACTAGTTAACAGTAATCACATAAAAATATAATTGTGCAAAAGTTTAGTAAAGAGTAATAACAAATTAGCAAAGCACCAACCTTGTGGTTGGCGTAGAGTTTAGTCAATAACTGAATCGATTTCGAGAGCTACATGCAGATCCCTCTTTATCAGGAGCAAAGAAATCTGCAATATGATATTTGCAATATGATATTAGATTCTGCATATGGTGCGTGCGCAACATTTGCCTTCTGTAAGAGATTGAGTAACTATTTAACAGTAATCCCATAAAAACATATAATTGTGCAAAAAGTTTAGTAAAGAGTATAACAAAATTAGCAAGCAACACCTTGTGGTTGCGTAGAGTTAGTCAATAACTGAATCGATTTCGAAGCTAACAGATGCAGATCCCTCTTTATCAGGAGCAAAGAAATCTGCAATATGATATATTGCATATGATATTAGGATTCTGCATATGGTGCGTGCGCAAATTTGCCTTCTGTAAGAGATGAGTAACTAGTTAACAGTAATCACATAAAAACATATAATTGTGCAAAAAGTTTAGTAAAGAGTAATAACAAATAGCAAAGCACAACCTTGTGGTTGGCGTAGAGTTTATCAATAACTGAATCGATTTCGAGAGCTAACAGAGATCCCTCTTTATCAGGAGCAAAGAACTGCAATATATTTATTGCAATATGATATTAGGATTCGCATATGGTGCGTGCGCAACATTTGCCTCTGTAAGAGATTGAGTAACTAGTTAACAGTAATCACAAAAACATATAATTGTGCAAAAAGTTTAGTAAAGAGTAATACAAAATTAGCAAAGCAACAAATTGTGGTTGGCGTAGAGTTTAGTCAATACTGAATCGATTCGAACTAACAGATGCAATCCCTCTTTTCAGGCGCAAAGAAATCGCACTATGATATATTGCAATATGATATTAGATTCTGCATATGGTGCGGGCAACATTTCTTCTGTAAGAGATTGAGTACTAGTTTAACATATCAATAAAAAATATTTGTCAAAAGTTTGAAAAGTAATAACAAATTAGCAAGCAACACCTGTGGTTGCGTAGAGTTTGTCATAACTGATCGAATGCGAGAGCAACAAGCAGATCTCTTTAGCAGGTCAAAACTGCAATATGATATATTGAATATGATCTAGTATTCGCATATGGTGCGTGCGCAACATTTGCCTTATGTAAGAGATTGAGTAATAGTTACAGAATCCATAAAACATATAATTGTGCAAAAAGTTAAGTAAAGAGGATACAAAATTAGCAAAGCACAACCTTGTGGTTGGCGTAGAGTTTAGTCACTAAACTGAATCGGATTTCGAGAGCTACAGATGCAGATCCCTCTTTATCAGGAGCAAAGAACTCTGCAATTGATATATTGCAATGATATTAGGATTCTGATATGGTGGTGCGCACATTTGCCTTTGTAAGAGATGAGTAACTAGTAACAGTAATACTAAAAAATCTAATTGTGCAAAAGTTGTAAAGGTAATACAAAATTAGACGGGCAACCCCTTGTGGTGGCGTAGAGTTTAGTCAATATGATGATTTCGAGAGCTAACGATGCAGATCCCTCTTATCAGGAGCAAAGAAATTGCATATGATATATTGCAATCTGATATTAGGATTCTGCATATGGTGCGTGCGCACATTTGCCTTCTGTAAGAGATTGAGTAACTGTACAGTAACACAGAAAAATAGAATTGTGCAAAAGTTTAGTAAGAGTAATAACAATTAGAAGGCACAACCTTGTGGTTCGTGAGTTTGTCAATAACGATCGATTTCTCGAGCTAACAGATGCAATCCCTCTTTATCAGGAGCAAGAATCTGCAATAGAATATTGCAATATGCTATTGGATCTGCATGGTGCTGCGCAACATTTGCCTTCTGTAAGGATTGAGTACTAGTTAACAGTAATCACATAAAACATATAATGTGCAAAAGTTAGTAAGAGTAATACAATTAGCAAAGGCAAAACCTTGGGTTGTCGTAAGTTTAGTCAATACTGATCGATTTCGAGAGCTAACAGATTCATATCCTCTTTATCGGACAAAAATCTGCAATGATATATGCAATATGATATTAGATTCTGCATGGGTTCGTGCGCAACCTTTGCCTTCTGTAAGAGATGAGTAACTATTAACAGTATCACTAAAAACATATAATTGTGCAAAAAGTTTAGAAAGATAATAACAAAATTAGCAAAGCAACACCTTGTGGTTGGCGTAGAGTTTAGTCAATACTGAAGCGATTTCATACTACAGATGCAGATCTCTTTATCAGAGAAAGAAATCTTTGAATATGAATATGATATTAGGATTCTGCTATGGTGCGTGCGCACATTGCCCTGAAGTAAGAGATTGAGTAACTATTACAGTATCACTAAAAATATAATTGTGCAAAATTAGTAACGAGTAAAACAAAATTATCAGCAACAACTTGTGGTTGCGTGAGTTTAGTCAATAACTGAATCATTTCGAGAGCGAACGATGAGATCCCTTTATAGGAGCAAAGAAATCTGCAATATTATTATATTGCAATTGATATTAGGATTCGATATGGTCGTGCGCACATTGCTCTTAAGATATTGAGTACTCGTTAACATAAGCACATAAAACATATAATTGGCAAAGTTTAGTAAAGAGTAAAACAAAATTAGCAAAGCAACAACCTGTGTTGCGTAGAGTTAGTCAATACTGATCGATTTCGGGAGCTAACAGAGCAGTCCCTTTATCAGGACAAAGAAATCTGCACTATGAATATTGCAATAGATTTAGACGCATCTGGTGGTGCGCACATTGCTCTGTAACAGATTGAGTAACTATTACAGTATCACATAAAACATATAATGTGCAAAAGTTTCGTAAAGAGTATAACAAAATACAAAGCAAAACTTGTGGTGGCGTAGAGTTTAGTCAATAACTGAATCGATTTCGAGAGCTACAGATGCAATCCCTCTTTATAGGACAAAGAAATTGCAATATGATATATTGCAAGGATATTAGGATCTGCATATGGTGCGTGCGCAACATTTGCTTCTGTAAGAGATGAGTAACTAGTTTACAGTAATCACATAAAAAATAAATTGTGCAAAAAGTTTAGTAAAGAGAATACAAATTAGCAAAGCAACACCTTGTGGTTGGCCGTAAGTTTAGTCAATAACTGAATCGATTTCGAGAGACAGATGCAGATCCCTCTTATCAGGAGCAAAGAATCTGCAATATGATATATTCAATATGATATTAGGATTTGCTATGGTGCGGCGCAACATTTGCCTTCTTAAGAGATGAGAACTAGTTAACAGTATCACATAAAAAAATAATGTGCAAAAAGTGGTAAAGAGTATAACAAAATAGCAAGCAACACCTTTGGTTGGCGTAGAGTTTAGTCAATAATGAATCGATTCGAGAGCTAACAGATGCGATCCCTCTTTATCAGGAGCAAAGAAATCTGCAATATGATATATTGCAATATGAATTAGGATTCTGCATATGGTGCGTGCGCACATTTCCTTCTGTAAGAGATTGAGTAACTAGTTAAAGTAATCACATAAAAAATATAATTGTGCAAAAGTTTAGTAAAGAGTAATAACAAAATTAGCAAAGCAACAACCTTGTGGTTGGCGTAGAGTTTAGTCAATAACTGAATCGATTTCGAGAGCTAACAGATGCAGATCCCTCTTTATCAGGAGCAAAGAAATCTGCGAGAGTGTAAAGCAACAGGAGCAATGGTCATATTTATAGCCTACGGCAGTAAAGCTAACAAGAAGGTAGAGCCATCTGCAGACAAAAATAGTAACGAAATTGAAAAATAAGTTAATAGAACATTAAAAGCTTTAGGAAGGACTGAATTGGATTTCAAATCATGACGTAGACAAGACAAATCCTTGTGAATGTGAAAAGCTTTAAGAATATTTAATTTGCCAATTGAGGTAGCCTTTTCAATAACATTTGCAGACCCAAAGTCAAAATTATGATTAATTTCTAAGATTAGCCGTCGAAAACTTGTTAATGTTAAAACTTGTTTTTGGACATAAGATTCATATTTCTTGATACGGAACTTAAATTTTACTTTAGTTCGTCCGATATATCTCAAATTACACTGACACGATATACAACTTTAACTCCAGAATTAAAGTCGGAAATGGAAACTTTAAGAATCGTACCATGAATTTTATTAATAGGCGGGAAAATGACTTGGAAATTGAATTTCTGGAGAATTTTATAACTGTCAGAAGGATGAAATGAAATTTTTAGGGTCATTAGTATTTTTGCCGACAAATGGCGCTACCTTCTTGTTCGATTTACTGCTGTAGGGTATAAATACGGCCGTTGCTCTATTTCCTACTGGAAAGTTTCTCGAGGTTATGTATGTGTGGTATTCTTACTCGGGATATAGCAGGCGCCGGAAATAACATGATATCTTTCATTCTAAAGCTGGCAAATAGAAAGTATCACACTATCAAAGCTGCTTTCTAGTCTTGCAGATTTTTTTTTGCTCCTGATGAAGAGGGATCTGTAGCTGTTCGCCTTCGAAATCGATTGAGTTATTGACTACATTCTACACCAAACACCAAGTTGATGTTCTGTTAACTTTACGTTTCGCTTTGGCGTATTTCTTTCTACACCAAACACCAAGTTGATGTTCTGTTAACTTTACGTTTCCCTTTGGCGTATTTCTTTTCGGTTTTGATGAGATAAGTATTTATAATATACTCAAAAAACTAAGTAAGAAATTCGTATATCATATATCACTTGTCATTATAAATTGATTCGAACGGGCACTCAAACTGTCTGTTTTCTTAACAGCATTGAATGCAGTAAATGGTATGTATTCTCAAGAGTTACACACATAAAATTTGCAAACGTTATATACATTCTAGACATACATGTAGCTGTACCTCGGTATGCATCATTAATCCTTTTCAAATCCTTGGACATATACAAAACGAACTTTTTTTTTTTTTTTTGGCAATAAGAAAGAAAGGGAAAATACTCTCCATCTTGGAAGTAAAGGCAAAATACTGTCTTTCTTAGAAGTAAAGAGAAAATGCTCTCTTTCTTGGAAGTAAAGGGAAAATACTCTAAAAAGTAAAGGGAAAATACTGTAAAAAGTAAAGCGAAAATATTCTCTTTCTTGGAAGTAAAGAAAAATACTCTGAAACGTAAAGGAAAAATACTCTCTTTTCTTAGAAAAAATCGTATCGTTATTATTACAACACTGCTTAATATTAAAATAAAAATCTAGTGGATGAAATTTATACTGTACCCCTTGCACGCAAAAAGAAAGGGGGGAAAGTTCCATATCTTCCGTTCTGCTTCACCGAATGAGCAAATTTACTTTGCGTTTTCTTGCCTCGAAATTGCGACTTAGGATATGCATCAGATTTAAATACAGCACTGATCTAACATAGGTATTCTGAAACAAAATCGGAATTTTCCTGAAATAACGTATTCTTTTTTTTTTTCTATATTTCGATTCTACGACTCAAATTATGAAAAGTTTTTTAGAAAGTGTGAAGTTTTTTAAAAATCGCGCGAGTAGTTTTTAAACAATGAACTCTCAAAATTTTAGCTCGTCAAAGTTAGTTGAATTGGATATATATTTATTAACATCTCTTTTTTGATTAAACTTACTAGATTCCTTCTTTCTCAGTTCGAAATTTAGGTTCAATCAAAAAAAATTTGCAGGTATTTTATGATTTATTTTTTTAATTTGTATTTCTTATTAATTTTTATAAATTTTACGAAAACATTTTAAAATTTTAATCTATAAAATTCTTACCATCACCTTAAAGAAGATGTATTTCTAAGAATATCAGCAAAAAATTAGAGCTTTTTATTCAAAATTTCCAAAGATGTACGTGAATTTCTGGATTGGCGCGTTTTGAAATTTGGCATATTTTTTATAAGCGATAAAACGCGAAATGTGCTTTACGCACTTTCTTTGTTAAAATTATTTGAAAGAAAGAACGAAGCTCCTTTTTTTACGTTAGAGCACAATGAAAAAAAGGGAAAGGAAAATAGGTTACTATAAATTAAATAGAACTTCACCAAGCAAATTATTCTTAGCGCAAACTGAAAAAAAAAAAAAAAAAAAAAAAACGCGTGATCATAAATTTTTGAGACGTTGGTTAGCAAATTTTACAAAATTTAATATTTAGACATAATTGAGTCGTAGAATTGAAATATCGAACAAAATCGATACATCATCCAGAAAAAGTCTAAGTTTGTGTCAAAATACCTATTTTAGAACAGCGTTTTATATACATCTAATACATATCCTAAGTCGCACTTTCGAAACATGGAAAACGCAAGTTAGATTTCTTCAAAAGGCCCAATAAAAATGTATTGTTGTTTCCACTTCCTTTGTTTATTTTTAAAAGTTTGTTTTGCCATTTTTTTCCAACTTTTTACCTTTTTGATTTTTATAATTTTATAATCAAAACAATTGCAATATCATTGCTTTATATTATTTTGCTCAATTTCTTTTGCCTGTTTAGTTATAATTATCAATTTACATTATATATATATATATGTATGTGTGTGTGTGTGTGTAATTTATCAAAAATTAATTAGTACACAGTCCGCGAAAGAGTAATATGTTTCTGAAAAGGACTAATGTAACTAGTAAAACGATTTAACTAACAAAATAAAGATTACAAATAAACAAAATAAATAAATCAATTTAAAAAAATTAAAATTAAGAATTAAAAACAATTAAAAAATCTTTCCAAAATATTTTATGACAAACTGCAATTTAATTATTCATAATAATTTAATGTTTGAGATAGGGTCATCAGAGAGTAATTGTCTCAAAATCTAAACTCGAATAATTAAGGAATTCTGAAGTTGCGTTTCGTCCTTCTTCACTATCTGAGAGCTAATTAAATAAAAATCCATAAAGAAATATTAAATGAATATACACAAAAGATTTTTTTTTACCCCATTCTCAAAAAATCAAAAATATAACCCAACGCAATTAAAATAAAAAATTTGAATTAAGAAAAACAACTAAAGAAACCGCAAATTTAGGTATTAAAGTTTGAAAATGAAAACAAAAACTGTAGGTTCACAAAATAATCACACCAAATTTAACAAAGAAATATACAATAGACCAAAAATAATTACTAAAAGACATAATTAAACTATCTTCATTCTTTGAAAATTGAAATGGTGGCCAAGTCGGCAAACAGCGTGTTTACGAATGCTAAAAATGCTATTCTTAGCAAAATGAAAATAATAATAATTCTAATTATTACTAAGGAAGCAAGGAATTTCTTATCTACCATTAACGCCTAAAAATCATAGTGTTAATAAGAGACTAAAACAACGTGTAGTTTTACATTAAAGATAGAAGTTGCTGAATTAAATCGAAAAAAATTGTAATTGTCCATGTACAATAAATGCACAAAGTTCTGAAAATTAAAACGGAAACTCAAGAAATACTTTTATAGAAAATGCTGTTATTTATATATATATGTTTGTATGTATGATATAATAAAAGCACAAGGAAAAAGGGAACATTGTTGATGCGAAATACCCAGATAAGATAGATCCGTATTGAAGAAGAAGCATTCCGCATTCCGATTGCGCAATATGCTAATATATTGATTTGCTAATAACTAATGAACTTGGAAGTCGAGGCAGTTTTAATTCCATTTGTATTTGCAATTGATATTTGGCAACAGCTTCAGTATAGCCCACCTTCAAAGTTTGGCGATTTTTTTTGGCGCCAAAGCGCGTGAAATATGTTTTTTTTGAAAAATGGTTACCATCGAGATTTTTGACGAGTCTCCGTGTTTCAAAAGTGGCGGCTATCTTGATTTCACCAGAAATCGTGGAGAATAGAAATAAATTGACGAATATTGTAAACGATTTTATTTAAAAGAAAAAAAATATTAAGGAATGATTAATAAAAATGATTAAGGTTAAATGATGTAATTTTAAAAACAATGCCGGAAAATCTCACTTTTGCTTGGCTTTCTCAAATGTAAGAAAGCTTTGCATGGTATCTTACATTTTTCACAAAAAACTTTATCCTTCAATAATACACAATCCATCAAAAATCCTCTAAAAAGTTCATACTCTTTTGTTAATTCATACATAAAATATCTGTTTGGAATTCTCAAACTTTTACGCTTGTTTGAAAACTCCCACTTTAAATTTTCTTTTAAAATCTCCTGATACTTAATTACAACATCACTAACAGCAGGTTTAGAGCAATCCGTAACTAAATGCAAAATTCTTATTTCGAAAACAGTATTCTCTACAATATCTGAGCGTTAAAGAATCCCCGAAAATAGTATTACGAATTTTGTGTTTAGGAAGTTAATTTTAGTAGAATTCTAATTAAAAATGTTGTATTTCCCCATGCAATGCAGCGCGAGACAAATTTTAAGACAAAGCTATGCTGGAAAAGTAAGAATACAGGGGCACGTGCATTTAACTTTGAGTAAATGGATATCTCGGTAATGAGTATTGAAATTGAATAAATGTAATTGACCACTATGTTAGCTGTAACCGTAATTCCATCATCTTTAGAAATCACAAATTTACGGTTGTTTACATTGCGTTTGTTGAATAGTATGGGTTACCACATGCTCGTAAACCAGTGTGGGTTGCCACATCATATCATTTATCGCCATTCTTGGTGATATTTTATTATCTTCCCCTGTATGCCTTAACCACAGTCATGAAGGACATCGAAAGCTGATGAGAACATCGCGACTGTACTTAACGATAAAAAGTTTTCTCTTACGTTCAGAAATTTATATTTTGAATATAACAGAATTTTTCTCTTTTTCTCTCTCTTTCTCTCTATATGTTACTAATAGTTAAAATATTTTTTTCTAGTAAATACAAGCTACAGTATTTTAAAAATAATGCGTATTAAGTATTGAATTCGATGTAGTGTTTGGTACAATGCAGTATGAGTAAAAATAGAAATAAATTATTGTTAAATTCTGAGAAGTCTTTGAAAATTAAAATTATTTTCCAGCTTATATTCCTACCAGGCAATGTCCTAAGCCTTCTGGAATATTCGAAAACAAATCTAACTGCAGTACCTTTTACTTGTGTACTAATGGTGTTCATCACAAGCAAGAGTGTCCAGGAGGTTTACACTACGATAGGAAGCGTACCAAATGCAATTTTCCCAAAATTGCTAAATGCCAAGGTAAGTAAGTACTCGTATCTATTTTAATTCAAACTTTTATAATTTTTACAAACGATTACTACAACGTTATATTTTAGGAAACTGAAAAAGCGAATTCGAAAACCAATCACCATCACTTTTTATATGAATTTTTATCCATAATATTGTTCTTTACAAATAAATAAGCTGCTTTTTATGGAACTAAGTCGCAACTGTGATTTTTAAGCCAAACATATGTGAGTTATGAACTCTCCACTTCGAGACATACAGTGTCTCACAAAAGTGATGGGACACTTGAGCTTTGCAAAAGGAAACTGTAATAAAATAAATTAAATAAAACATGTAAAAATTTTTTGTAGGTGTGTTTCATACTTAAATTTAGTAACAATTATTACATAACTACATTTTCTCAAAATATTAAAATATTAATTTAATAAATACAATTGTTTAGAAGGAGCAAAAAATGGCTCACATAAGTGATGGAACACCATTAGATCTACTAATACACACAAAAATATTTATTTGGGTTTTTTATTTTTACTCAAAAGCAATTGGCAATAATTTATAAAATTGTCTTCAGATTTCTCTACAGTTGTTTTGGAATTTTGTGATTTTTTTTCTTGTGCAGCCTGAATGCAAACGAAAAGAAACTTTGCCTGAAATTCGAAATTATTATTACTTTGCATATTGAACTTGGAAAATCTATTCGAGAAACGCTGAACAGTTAACTTAAGTCATTCACGTTTTCTATCATTAAACAATAAAAGAATCAATGATTCAGGATAAAAAAAAGACTGGCCGACCATCAAAAATCCCAATAATAAAGGAATTATCTTTCGAAATATTAAAAAATCCAAGAATGAGTGCTCCTAAAGTTGCTGCTGATTTACAAGCATATATGGTAATGTTAATCCGGACTATTAGAAGAGTAATTCGATCTTTGGATATCCGGTAGAGCAGCCAGAAAAAATTCGTAAGTAAAAGATAAAAACTCCAGGACTTTGCAAATCCACATAAATAAGGAATTCTGATTACTGGATGAATTATATTTGTGAGAGCAAATTTAAATATTTGGTTTGACGGTAGAATCTGTGTGGAGAAAACCCAGGGAAGATTTCGCAAACCGAATTGTGCCACAGTAAACAGGTGGAGTAGGAGTTATGGTATGGGGTGTTGTCGTCCGTGGAGTGGTAATTGTTTTATTGACAGTATATGGATCAGTAAAGTATATTGACATTTAAATCAAACTTGAATCTTCAGCACGAACTTGACCTCACGATTTTAAATTCTACAAACAATGACCCAAGCACATGCTTTTAACGTTAGACTCTGGCTGCTGTATTTCTGTCCTGACTAAGAAAAACCACCCCCCAGTCTCCTCCTCTTCCCCTCGAAATTTGGCAAGAATGATAAGAGTTCGCAAACACACCATTCTTCAAAATAACAATTAAAATCGTGCTTCAAGAAGAATGGGGAAAATCACTCCAGCATCACAAAAAATATCGAATCCATCCCAGAGATTAAATCATGTTTTAAAAGTAAAGGAAATCCAACAAATATTAAAACCTTTAAAAAAGTCAAATTTGATAAAAATATTGATGGAAAAGGGTCCCATCACTTATTGCCATTTTTGCTCCGTTCTATACATTGTATTTATTAATAATATTTAATATTTTGAGAAATGTATATTTAGTAATATATTTAATTAAGTATGAAACACACCCACAAAAAATTTTTCCATGTTTTTTTAATTAATTTTACTAAAGTTTCCTTTTGTAAAGCACAAGTGTCCCATAACTTTTGTGAGACACTGTAGAATTCATTTTCAAATTTCTAAGCTCATTAATAATCAGGCAATTACAAATAGTATTTACACATTTTTAGAACGCTTTTAGTAAAGAATTAAACAAAAACAAATGTCTTGGAATACAATTTTCTGGCAAAAACTTGTTTTTAAAATTGGAATATCGTCTGCTATTTTTAAATTTATTATTATTCTTTTAAAATGTCGTATACAAACAAGCTGTGGATTGAAGGATGTGTTTTTGCGCTTTCCGATTAGAAATATTTCTATTTCATAATCCAGAAACGTTTTTAAATGCGTGGTATTAAGTTTCTAAATGCCAAATAAGCAACATTACCAATAACAAAGGATAAAACCGTCAACCATTACTTTTACACGGAAAGAAGATTCCAAACAAATGCATGAAATATGTAATGTTTCTAAACTTAAATCATTGGTAACAAAAGAAAATCCGCTGACGCATAAGTCAGTTGCAGAGTCTTTAACTAAATACAAAATTCGTAACAGTATCTTTATATACTTATTGGAAGTCTGGTTCTTTTCGTAGATTTATTAATATTCATCTACGGAAAAAACAACGGTTCAAACGTTAATGTACTCCCCCCCCAAAAAAAAGCGATTATTTTTATTGCAAAAATTCGTAACTGAGAATATTTATCTTTTGACATTTATTGATAAAAGTTAATCAAATTTGTATCTTCAAATCTTTGAATAAAATTTATATCATAGCGTAAATTAATTATTGCGGAGGTTTACTAATTTTCGTTTTTAGTAATGAAAATAATGTAAAAAATTGAACTCCAAATGATTAAAATCGTAGGAATTTTCTTCAAATCTTGTCATAATATTGCTAATTAAATTGCGGGGAATGCATTCGCATGTCGCATAAAATTGCTTCGGGGTCACATACGGCCACTAGTTTAAGACCACGGCTTTAAGCAAATAGTCTTTGATTTCTGTGCTTAACTAAGACATTATGTATTTATTTTTCATGTAGTTTGCGTTTACATAATTAATTTTTAGAACATAAGTGTCTGTCTATGTTGTTAGGTTTTCAAAGTACCGGAATAGGAATGGACAATATAGTATATATAAATGAATGTTTGTTTGATTGTCTCTTATACAAATCTACAGTTTAATTCTGATCTTTATGAAATGTTCCATACTCGACCTTCTAAAAAATTCTTTGCAATAAATAAGAGGAAGGTCACTTCTTGCATAAGATTTCTGAATAATCAGCTAATGGGGTCTGCACTCTTTATATACACATATTTTACGCTAATTTAAAGAACTTTCGGTTAAAGAGTTCACGATTTATAAGCTCTGCAAAGCGTAAGATATACATATATATGTTTCAAATTTAGTCAGAAAACTCGGCGATATAAAAAAGTTGCATTGCCACTTAGGAAAACGAAATTATGTTATTTTTTCTTGAATGTAATAAATAACACGGCTATTTAACAGCAATATGTTGCCACTGTTCAGATTAAAATATTTTAAAGTGTGTTATTGTTCAGAAAAGCGTAAAATATCTAATTTCTTAAGCATTAACATGTGTGCTATTATACCACAGGCATTTTCTTTGCTTTTTGTAAGTGAATTTGTAATAGTCTTTACAGAGCATTATTTTCGCTGTGAAATCAATTATGGCCACCATTAAGAAAATCAACTTCTCAATCTACACCTTAAGCACGAACGAAAACAGCATCCCGAGCTTCAGAAACAAACGAGCAATGAGAGGCAAGACTGAGAAACGTTCCAGTACGCACTGCCCGATTCAGACGAACACTGCATGCTTTTTTAAATCTTGGTATATTCCATTACGATGCTAATTATGATTACAGTCTTCATCCAAGTGTAGTCGTTCGTTGGAAAGATTGATAAATTATGCATGTATTGCAGAGCCCTCGAATTTAAGACTGAAGCACGAGGAATGTGCTGCGGAGGGGGGGTGGAAAAGTGAAATAGCCAGAATTAAATTCACCACCCAAACCATTATCACCTTGGTATCAGGTGACACGAAACAATCGGAACATGCAAAATACACACAAAGCAACAATTTTTATAACAGAATTAAAACACAAACACTTTCTTTCCATTAAGTAGAATTGCAGCGCATTCCGTGTAACAGCTAAAACTTAGTTTTAAAATATTAGCTTGTGGAAATTTCCAGCAATGGAAGAAACTGTGGTAAAATTTCTGCAAGCATACAGAACTTTGCTAAAGTTTCCAAATGGAGCAATTAGGAAATGCGTTTCCTCGATAGGCGTTGTTGCCGAGGATTGCACGAAGCCGAGTCTCCGCAATTTTCTGATAATTTTTAAGCAAAAACAGATCGCTGTGTACTTCGGGAGAATAGCGCAAAAAATTACAAAATAATTTGAAGAAGAATGTAAGTGTTTTTTTAAATATATTACGTAATTCTTATTTAATAATTCAAATTTATATTTTAAATTGCTAAAGTAAGTTTCCTTTTCATACATTAATAATGTTTACCCACTTAGATAACTATCAATAGTTTGGAAATCTTTCTAAAAAAGGCGACAAAACCATTGCACCCGATTAGTAACTTTTACTTTTTCATTATTAAAATATCACCAAACTGGACCAAGGTGGCCAGCGTTAATATATAACTACCCAATAAAGTATAAATGATTTTTGTATCAATGTATTATACACTGCATCTTACAGATTGTGAACTTATATAATTTTCCTCTATATATTTTTTCTTTTTTATGTAGGAAAGAAAAAAAAGAAGCCACCAGTGACGCCAACATCTCAAGGTACGTCTGACCATTGTTCGTATAATTGTCTGTACCTGCTGTTTAGACCTCTAAGATCTTCAGGTAGAATTTAGAATAACTTTTAGATCAGGTTATGCTCCAGATATAATAAATTTCATTACTGATTTTCGAATCTCAATATAATTTTCCTCAAAACAGTATTTGAATGATCGATTCTAGATTTAGAAATATAGATTCTACCTACTTATTAAAATCCATATGATTCCTTATAAATTTCTTATTTCACGGATATTTGTGTAATTCTCTTGAAGGAACGATGACAGCAAACTGAATAAAGTATTATAGGGCTAGGTTTTGAGTGATTTATATATGTTACCGTGAAAGACCGAAATTGGAGAATGTCGACTTTCACCAGAGAATATCAACATTCACCAAATACGTCGGTGAAAGACCGAATATTTCACTACATTCTTGTATATTCGGACCCTCACCGGCGTATGTCGACAATCACAGATATGCTCTGGTGAAAGTCGAAAAGAGAGGTCATAAAGTGCCATAATAGTTTAAGTTGTTGCAATAAATAAGATTTGAATCACATAATTAAGTAAGTTTTTAACTTCTATTATTTTCCTTTCTCATTTTGAATGTATTGTGTGTTTTAGGTTCTCATGTTCTTAAGTTTTTATTTCAAGTCTCAAGTGCGTTTATTCGCGACTGAATCACGGAGAAGAAAATATAATATTGTTATATGTTCAGCATTCACCATTAGTACATGGTGAATGTCGACATTGACCGGTGTAAGTCAGAAATAAGAGTATTTGGAAAATATTTCGGACATACACCAAGAGACTATGTGAATGTTGACATTCACCGGTGAAAGTCGACATTCTCCAGATTTCGGTGTTTCACCGTAACATATACACGAACAGGGATTTTTATTATTTTATTCTTAACTTTTTTGTTTGATAACGGTGCTAACAATGCGATTCAGGGTGAATTTCCTCAATATGTGCAAATCATTCTGAAGCTAAGTCAAAAAGTAAAGAAGTGAAGTTAATACGCCACCCAGACGGTGTAGTGGTTAGGGGCAGTGCAGGATATACGTATGAGCTACCCAAGCTATAGCTTAGGGCCCTCGCTTTTTTGGGGGTCCCCCAAAACCTTCTAACGATCCGAAAATCATGTTTGGCACTGACATATAACACCTGGACTTATAAAGGACCCCCATATCTCAAATAGCTTAGGCCCTTATCAAGTCTAAATCCGGGCGTGGTTAGAGAAGCCTGACTGTGATACCAAAAGGTCTGTGTTCGAATCCTTGAGAAGGCATGGATGTAAAATTGTCTGTCCCTTCATAGGAGGTAACGGTGGCCGCTTATTGGTGCATCCACAATAAGATGGCCATCACTTCTGATTTCAGTAGTTGCCAATGCCGTTATAGGCAAGTGCCCGCCATTAGGGGGGGAAGCTAAAACTGGCTCATTCATAAATTAAACTAAACTCAGTGGCGCAACAGCCTTAGTGGGCCACGGCCTGCAGTATCCTTTTTCCGCTTTCCTGACCTTTAGACCCCGGAGCGCATCAGCATATGCCCTGGACAAGTAGTCGGCTTGTTTTGTCTCCAAACAAACTTGGTACTCATTTTATCGACACACTGAAGTGGCGAAAGACCGAGTCAACCTTTCCCAGCCCGAGGATCGAACCCCGGACCTGTGGTGAAGCTGCGCGACGCGCTAACCACTTCGCCACTGGGCGGTCCATTCATAAATTATGTTAAGTAAATTATGGAGATACAACTAAGTGTGGTTTCTAACTAGGTATGGTTTCATGGTTTCTAAGTAGAGAAATGACTTCTTGAAAAGCCTCTGAAAATTTCTCTTTATACTACCCATGAGTAAAATCACTCATTCACTCCATATACTGGTGAAATGTACTGGTCAAGGCAAGACAGAATTCAGAAAAAGACAAATGGCAACAGCAAGGAAAAGTTTAAAAGAGCAGGTCTTTTAGAAAAACAGTAACTGATAAAATATATAAGGATAAAGAAAGAACGTTTTAAAAGATGAGGAGGACAGGCATTGAGCAGGCTCAGTTTCAGCGATAAGACAAGAATTATATGGATTCTTATAGTCTTTCTTTAGGCTTTTAACACGACTGGTAATTCTTTCTCTTATGATGTGAATAATAAAATGTGAATGCATTTCAGCAATAAAGATTCCTATTATAAATATCAGTACATACGCCTTCAGTGTAAAGTTAGTTTTAAACGAGAAGCATAAAATATTTAAGAATCTAACAACGCTTAGATTTATGGCCTTTTGGGTTGCATCCTTGCTATTAACTTAAATTAACAAGGTTGTTTGGAATGAGAAATTAACTGCTGTGCAGTGAAGAAGTCTTGATATTTATATTACAACTAAACTTAGCCAGACTACAGAACAAGCGTGCTCCCTTCTGACTGAAAATACAGAGGGTGTTGACATATTTTTAGAACCATTTCAAAAAAGAATTAAAAAAAGCAAATGCTTGCATTAAAAATTTCTGGGGAAGAATTGTCAATCCTTACTTCCACATGGAATGAAGATTCCGTACAAATACCCGAAAAAGATACGTGCTGTTTCCGATGTTTTTAAAATGGTTGGTAACAAGAGAAAGTCTACCGAGGCAGAAATCAATTTCTGAGTCTTTAAATGCATCTATAGAAACAGTAAATAAAATAATAAACCAAGATTGATTACTTAAAAAAAAAATTCAAAATACTCGCCTTTGAAGAGGTACGTGGCTGAACGAAGAACGGTATAAACGCGAGATGAAAGCTAGTTAGAGGAGATAAATAGAAATACATTGCGCCCCTTAATAAAGCATGGGTTTATCTAAATGATGCAACAGAAATGGTGTACTTATTACCAAAAACGAAGGGAAAATTATGTACAAACCCGAATCCTTCAAAGAAAAGAAAGTTTCAGTAAGAAGTTTATGACTGTCGCGGAATTCTCCTACAATGAGAAATTAAAAATGCGGAGAGTGGGAAAAAATTTTAAAATAAATCCAAGGTTCTATCAAGAGAAAGTTTTACGTCCGATATTTAAAGAAGAAATTCCATTTCATTATCCCAACGATTTTCAAAGAATGCAATTTCAACAAAACAAAGCAATAAGTCATACTTCGAAAAGTATCACTGCTTATCTTCACAAAATGAAGACTGATATAGATACTGCATACACACCTTTTCAACGTATTCCTACGAACTAGGCTGATGTTTCATCTATGGACTACTATGCTTGTGGCCTCTTGAAAAGAGCTCTTTCTAAGCGCAAACCTACCACGACTGATGAGTTCTTGAACGTAGTAGAAGCGAAATGGAAATCAATACCCGTGGGAATTTTATGTAAGGCTCTTCTATATTATGAAAATCATGACGCAGATTTATAGTCCAGAAAAAATGGCAAGCATGTAGAACATTTAAAAAATACTGTTTGTATTTTAAAGATTAATTAAACAGACCTAAATCTTTCCAAAAATGTGTGAACGCCCTCTCTAGTTCTCTGATTTGTGTTTACGCAGAATCATTTCATATCTAAAACAAAAAAAGACTTTATCTTTTTGCTGAATTTACAATTGAGCCTGTTACGAGATCTCGTTTTCAAAACCCCTTCAGTGTTCTGCTTTTTAGCTTGATGTGGTAAATTTAGCGAATTTACTTGTAGAGTTGCGCGCCTCCAACCTGCACGCAACCAAGAGGTGACTGTTGAAACTGGAAAATAGACAGAGTCTTGCTAAGTCCCTTTTTATTCAACTTAAAACATTACAAATTGCGTGCTCTGACGCTCACAAACTAAGCCGACCCACGGCGGTAAAATAAAAAAAGAACCTGAAAAGAAATAATATCAAGACTCTAACTACGAGGCTCTCTAAAGTAACAACCTCACCGCGTTTACAATACCGCTGCTAATTCAGCAAACTTTGAATATCACGTTGAACTTACAATTCTCCGAGGCCAAGCACACAGGCCGAAACGCGGGTTCTTCAATTTCTGGCTAACTACCTCCGCGCTCGTGAAGTACGAACGCACACCTCGAACTCGTTTTCCATTCTATTTAACTCAGAATACTTCCGCTGATAATTTGAATCCTTGCGCGTTCTACTAACTAAATTTACATACTCTGGCATTGGCAGTTCCCGGGGGAAGTAAGGCTTGACCAGGAAAGATAGTTTTACAACTTAAAATAAATGTTAGTTAAAATAAATATAAACCCTACATACTCAAAAAGAAAACACAAATGGCATTTTTTATTCAAATCGTAAATTGTTTCTTCAGGCCTAGTCCGTTATGAAAAGGTTTGATTCGTAAACAGAAACGTAATTCTACTTATACTTTCAACCATAGGATACTTATTATTTGTATTTATTCTCGAGCTGCAATACTTCTGCATTATATGTTAAAGAAGTTTTCGTAAAGAATTTATAAACTGGATTTTTCATCTAAAAACGTGAAATTCAAGGCAGGTAGTAAGAAATTCCTTTCTCAGTCAATTCATTTCTTTCTTTTATTTTCAAATTTATTTCATAATAATTGGTTATGAATTCTTTATGACTTCTTTAGATTATGGAAAGCACTCAATGGGTATGAGCCTACGGGAATGGATGCATTCGTAAAGACCTCAAGGGATATCTCACAACAAAATAAAATACGAATCAAAAATTAATAAAATTATAGTAATTCTGTAGACTCATTAGGTTATTGTGAAACACGGCACATGAAAAATGAGCAATACCCTTGCCGGGACTCGAAATTGTACTTACCGAATACGTGCCGAGTGTGCTAACAGTTACACCACGAAGGCATGCAGAAAGAAGGGAAAAAATAACTTATATACCCCCCTTTTAAAGGACGACTGGTGATTAGGGGACCCAGTCATCAAATCCTGGTGGTGCAGAATCATCATCCACCACCACTTTAGTTCTGGGGGCCACTGTAGAGAAATTATGTTATTTAGAAGAAGGATGGGTGAAAATGTGCAATGCTCTCGCCGGAGCTCCAGTCGGGATCTCTCGAATACGTTCTAATACTCGAATACGCCCGAGTGTGCTAAAGTTACAAGAGGAAGACATACAGAAAGGAGGGGGAAAATATCTTATAAGCATAAATACTAATTATGAATATATAAATTTACAGTATTGTTGTAAAACAGCCAATTCTTAACGTAGATATTAATTTTTCTATTATGTTAGTAGTCTGTAGTAATAAAAAGTTAGATTATAAAAACTCACAACGAAAGAATTACGTTAAGGTACTTACATAGAAGCAAAACCACCTTAGCGCAATTTGGCGATTTTTACTGAAGAGAAAGGTGATTCGGTGAATTTTCAGATTGCATTTTACAGTGGATATGGTTACCTAAAGAACCGCATGGTTGCCAGAGTTTGGCGATTTCTACTAATGGTGCATGCGATAGTACGTAAGTATCTATATTAATTTTTTTTTACCTAACACCTTTTCGTTATTTTCAGCTGTTCGTAAACCAAGAAAGAGCAAATTCTGTCCCAAGCTGGATGGCATATTTCCCAATGAAAAAAACTGCAGTACTTTCTACTTTTGCGTAGATGGCACAGCGTACCAGCAAGAATGCCCACAAGGTTTAGTGTTTGACTCCAAGAATGTCAAATGTGACTTTCCCAAAGTTGTAGGTTGTAAACGTGAGTAGCATTTCTTTCAATTTTTTTTTTCATGGAAAACTTTCACGGTTACGATATAATACATTTAATTACAGCTAGTAGAACAATTAACTGCAACAGCCATTTATTAGAGGCACGTTTTTAAGAACAAAACCTAATCCACAAAATAACCGGATTATCTTCGAATGCCTGGAACATCATGCCTTTTAATTAGAACATGCGGCAGAACAAGAAGTAGCAGTACTCTAGATCAGGGGTGGCCAACAAGTCGATCGCGAGGCTTTTGGTTGATCGTCGATCGCACGGCAATGACTAGAGTGGCATTCCGTGCACAGTGGACTTTGAAGCGACTATAAAAGACAAAATCTTTTAGCAATAATTTAATGCATTCTGGGAATTTGCCGAGGTCATAAATTTCTAAAATGAGCAATCGCCTTCGCAGGGAATCGAACCACGATCCTTTGGAATACTGGCCCAGCGTGCAGAACCACTACACCAGGAAGGCACGCTAGGAAGGCGGGAGAAATACTTTATGCACTCTCCCTTTTAAAGGGCCACTGCGGTTTTTAGGGCATCCCAGTCGCCAAATCCTGGGTGGGGAGAATCATCATCCACCATCCTTTTAGTTCGGGCGCCACTGTAGAGACATTAGGTTAATTGGAAAAGCCGGAGAGATGAAAAATGAGCAACCGCTTTCTCCCGGGAATCTAACTACGGACTTCTGGAATACCGGCCCAGCGTGCAGAACCACTACACCACGAAGCCACGTTAGGAAGGCGGGAAAAATACCTTATAACATTTTGACTTATGTTTTACACTTATCACCGGACGTAATACGTGAACGCAACTATCAGGTCTCGACTCATCGAACAGCACAGTTAGCTTGAATATTTGATAGTGTCATACGGTAGCCTCCTTTCTTTTGCATTAACAGTGGTTATTATTAATTAATATTATTTATCCTCAGTGACCACTTATTAGAGGTTCTTCTGTTTAAAATGCAAGTACCTTTTCCTTGTTTTAAATTAAATTGCTTTTCTTACATATCTATTTACTTACAACAATAATGCTATTTAAATCAAGATTTCATTATTTAAACCGTAATAAATACATTGTAAATTTAACAGACTTCTTGTAATTTGATTATATCCTTATTAGGTTTTAATACACTTGTATTGCTGTGTCCGATCGTAGTATGCAGTATTGTTATCATTTCTCTCAATGTAACGGAGATAATAGCCGCAGTTCATGAGTTTTGAATTTTCTAGAAAAATATTTAAATCAATATTTATTCTTTAAATTGTTATATTTCTTTGCATTCTAGTATACCCATGATGAACATGGTAGTAAACAGGAGAAATCGGAAACTTATCAATTCAATGAAGAATGGGAACACGATTAGTTTTTTACAATATTGAATGATAAATGTGTAGAGACATTGGGATATTTTTGAAAGTAGAAGATGTTAAAAATGAGAAATGCCCTCGCTGGGATTCGAACCACAGAGCTCTCGAATACGCGTCGAGCGTGCTGACCACTACACCACGAAGGCTTGCTAAGAAGTCGGAAGAAATACCTTATAAATGTTGTTTAATATGCCTTATGTCAGTAGCCATTGCTAAAAAGGGTAATCTGGAGAGACATTTCTTAGACATTCTGAATTGAGAAAACATAAAGTTATGGATCTTAAAACTCAATTACCAAATCAACAAAGCGTTTTTAAAAAGCCAAGATTGAAGTCACAGGCATTAGATACTGCATCATTCAAAGTAAGCTACCTTTTAGCAAAAGCTTTTGAAGTGATTTTGTAAAGGGAATTTTTTTTAAAATGTCAGATTCAATTTTTAAATGATTTTAAGAACAAGAGTGAAATTGTTGCTGCAATTCAAGATCTACAATTGTCTCGGAACACAATGATGCGACGAATTGAAAGGATGAGTGAAAATGCAAAAGAGCAGCTATACAATGATATTAATACATGTTCTTGTTTTCCCTTTATTGTGACAAATCGACAGATATAAGTGATACGGCACAATTACTTGTTTTAGTTCGTATGGCTTTTAAGGATTTTACATCTAAAGAATTGTTGGGTATGATTTCTTTGAAGGAAAGGATTAGAGGTGCAGACATTTTCAAAGCCTTTAAAAAACTTGCTCAATGATTTGAAAGTGCCACTTTTTAAATGTCTCAATAACAATGGCGCAGCTGCAATGATAGGTAGCATAAATGGATTTATAGCCCTATGTCAAAAAGAAGATGAATTCCCTGACTTTTTAAGCTATCACTGCTTAATTCACCAGCAAGTGTAACCTAGCAAGAGACTAAACAGAATAGAGGTTACGGGCATAGAATTTAAAATTGTTTTTTCAAATCGAGGAAGTTCCCTCAAACGGCGTCTCTTCCAACTGCAGCTCGATGAAGGCCAATTTGAATTATTACTACATACCGATGTCAGATGGCTAATCAAAGGAAAATTTTTGCAGCGATTTCGTGATTTATTGCCTGAAATTATGGATTTCCTTCACGAACAAAATGGAAGCTGTGAAAATTTAAATGATGAAATTTGGCTTAGTGACTTAACATTTCTTACTGATTTTACTTTACAGTACTTTATTTTACTTTACTTTACAGTTTATTTTACTTTACAGTATTTACAGTCATTTAAATTTAGAATTATAAGGTAAAAATAAAACCGTAATTGGTATCATCAGCGGCATAGATGCATATAAAACAAAATTTGTTTTGCTAATAGAAGATCTGCAACAAAATAATATAAATCGTTTTCCTAATATGGCGCAGAACCTACAAAAACATAAACATATTAATTATAAGATCGACAAATATGTCGCGGAAATCCAAAATGTAATTATAGATTTTGAGATAAGATTACAGGACTTTGAAAAAATTACAGCAATTGTGGAATTCATATCTTCTTCTTTTCAAAAAAAGATTTAAGTGTGAAACACATTAGCTAAAATATTTCAGACATATTTCATATGGATCAAAAGGCATTAGAAAATGCAATTATAATTTTACAAACTGAACCTTACAAGCCCGAAAATTTAAAGATTTTTGGAAATATGTCATAAACAGGATGTACTGCATTTTGTAATCACAGTGCGTTTTTCTAGGCAATGTCATTTCTGATTACAAATGTCTAAGTTATTAAAGGAAATAATTCAAAGAAATAATTATATGAGTGAAATGTCTAGTGTCAATGTAATGGTTAGTGCTTAGATTAAAACTGAAATCAAATAACACTATTTATGAAAATTTTTCCTGAATGTTTTGCGTTTTGTAAACGTTTTGTTGATCATTTTTCCATTGCTAGACTTATTTCCTGAGATAGCTTCTAATATTTTCATGAACGTGCTTAGACATTGCTAACATATTTGCTCGTATTTTAATAGCACCTCCTGGAACTCTCTCTATTCTTACCTGTCCTGAAGATTCCGGCCTCTTTCGACATCCGACTAGTTGTGGAACTTTCTATTTATGTAGACAAGGTCGGAGTTACCGTTACGACTGTCCAGTTGGACTTATATTTGATTACAATCAGAAGAGGTGCGAATATCCCAGGAATGTTAAATGCCCTGGTAAGTGCAAAATATGTATAATATTCATTATCCGATTCTTTATAATATACTATGAACAGTAGATTATTATTATAAAATTCTGATGTGTACACCACATGACTTTCTCCTACGGAATATTAAATTATACGCATTTTTTCTTGCATTTCGTTTAAACTTATTGGATTGAATTAAATCTACTTCGTCGACAGCGCATAAACCACAATAGAATAAATGCATCTTTAAAAGTCACTCTAGCATTTGTTTACCATAGCGACACTCTGGCGCTAGATTCACTTAGCAGTATTATATTTCGTTCATATTATAACTCAGAATGCACAAAATGTATATCATTTAAAGAATTATCTAATCGTTCCCACATGTTCAATTCAAATACTTTAATAAATCTAGAGCGATGTATAAAAGAAATTAAGCAAACGAAACAAAAAAGAAACAATTTTTCACAGACGATTGAGTATTTCTCATTCAATTAATTCAGTTCTCACTTCGCGACAAGGCAAAAATGCATAAAAACTCAAAATATCTATATTAAAAATTACGAAGTAAATTTTAAACACTTATTTCCTCGATAACATTCCAGAAAGGGTTAAGCATGATTTAATTCGCAATAATAAATGAAGGCGTTATCTTTGTTGTTGAGAAGCTACGTTTCTCTAGATTGGCAACAAATTCACTACTCTGCTGTTTCAAATGTAAACAAGCAACGGCCGCCATCAAAAAAAAAAAAAAAAAAAAAAAATATTAGGCTTAGCGGCATTTAAACAACTTTAAAATTGTTGATAATTCTAAAAATATTGCATACAGATTTACTAAAGGCATAAAAACCTTAACAGGAAGATAAGAACAACATAATTCAATCATTTTTAAAGCAAAAAATGTACAATTTACAAAACATAAAGAGTAAAGAAACTGAGATCACTGCAGCCGGGGTAACAGAGTGGATATATATCTAAATATATTTATATACGTTTGGTGCAGCCGATTGCAACCAAAATACGAGGTGCACATCTACATGTTATAGCAGTCCCCTATATACAAAATTTCAACGTTCTGAAGCTACTCTTTTTTGAGCTATGCGAGATACGTACGTACATACGTTCGTACAGACGCCAGGAAAAATTCTCTTCAGAATTCAATTTAAAGCAGTTTTATAATTTTTTTGGAGGAAAAGAGTCTTTTATTCTGTCCTTAAGTGCAAATATCACGCAAAAACATCGTTAAATTGCATTCGAAAGCGTTCCAAATGGATATTTTCGTTGAAATATGCTGCCTGAAACTTTTCGTGATTACAATGCTCCTTTTTATTTCGTAAAAGGAAGTAAAAATGTAAGAATTCTCAGCTACATATCGTAGAAAGATTACCATCGAAAAAAAAAAAATAAAAGTGCTTAAAAAAAATCTGAAATGTCTTCAGATTTTAACGGGCGTCGCCCAAAAGAGTTTGTTAAGGGTTTTATGGTCTCGCTGAGCTCGCAGTCTAGCATAGTACTGTTACAGTCACTCCTACTAATACACTTCTTTTTTTTTGTCTTTTTAGCTTAATTATTTAGCATCTTTTTCTTCCAACTTATGCCATATACAGTTCAACAGCAAAAATTACAACAATTTTACCAGCAGTAATTATTTCGAATTCCCGATGAAACGTGTGTGCATACTTTTCCTCTTTTTTTTTTTCTTTTTTCAGTTTTATTCTCAGTTTATGACATCAATGGACACTTTTCTTAGTAAATATGGCTTTACAAACCATTTTTGTGATTTTTATTATTAACGTTTTGTGTGTTTACTTTATTTATTAAATATCACGTTCTTGGCGCTTACATTACATAAAATTAGACTCAACAGCAAAATCATAAAATATTTAAAACAGCTTATCTTTAGTGTTTCCGATGAACAGTGTGGCGCGCTGGAGATAAAAATGATTTATTTTCCTTACAGTGTTGCCACTGCTCGTTTTGGAATTGTTGAGTTTGTTAATAAAAATTCGTTAAAATGTTACAAAATATAAAATTGATAATTACACAGTCGAACATTAATCCACGATTTGAAATTTAAAATTCGGCCTTCTAGGCATCTATGTTCGGGTGTAGTACAGTCAAAAGTCGTTAATTCGGACACCCATAATCCGGAATGATCTATAATCCGAACTTCAAAGCTGCAAACATTCTGCGCATGCGTCGCGTTGACTCATGCGCGTAAGACCTTTACGGCTGCGAATATGTTTGTGCGCGTGCTCAAAGTACGTTTACCAGTGCGCGTTTAATGTATAACGGAGGGTATAAGCTAAGCTAAAATTATCTAATTATCTATTTCAGTTAATGTTGCAGATTGCGTTGTTCCTTAATCTTCGAATTGGATCCGGCTTATTATTTTTTGCAGACTGTTAGAGCAATTTTATAAAAGTAAGCTTGAACTTTCGATTATGTCAAATAGAATTTCTGATATATATTTACTTATATGTAAAGGATCTGCAAAGCGAAAGTATGTTTCGAAGTCCATTAAACAAAAAGTGGAATTGCTGCAAAAAATGGATAAAGTCATATTCTTTGTTTATCTAAACTTTAACGTTTATTTATCTAAACTTTGTTTATCTTTAACGCGCAATGAATTGGAAGTTGATCTGTCAGCACTATCCTTATCTTCAGGGCAGATGTTTTTATTTTATTTGGCATATAATTCCTTACTAAATGTAGTATTTCATCTCGATGTACTCCGTCTTTGATATGATTTAAATCAAATTCCTCGTCATTATAATTCGCTTCCGATAGCGAAGAAAGTTACAGAGGTTATTGAAAACGAAAAAATTTCGATTGACAAATTAGTCGGTAGACACAGCAATTATAGGACTTGAACAGCGGAACTTTGTAACTGAACAAGAAATTATGTCTGTTTATAGAATTAAAGAGAATGTATTATCACATAAAAAACGAAGCAACTTAAACAACTTACATTGAAAGAAATGTTTTAATAAAGTAAACAAATAAATATTTAGCTTTTTTTTTTTTTTGTAAATTTTGATACCCTTTAGATCATAATTGTTCTTTATTTCCTAAATTACGGTTTCATATTTTTAATTTTATAATTTCTGCATGCCATCTTACCAGATTTAAACTGATGATCTATAATCCGGAAAAATCGATAATCCGGAATCGCCGAAGTCCCGACGAGTTCGGATTAACGACTTTTGACTGCACTACATTATTCAAAATTTGAGGGCTCTATATACCGTTGGTTTTCCACAATGCGAGAAACGTGCATGCAGATTCTTCATTGTTTAATTTCTTTAAATATAATACAGGGCGATCATATTTGATGGCAACAATTTTAAAAGTGCCGTTTACAGATTCAACGAAAAATGCCGTTTCGAGGCCAATATCCTATTTGGGACTAACGTACACTGCCGGAAAAAAAAAGGGCAGTTCTATATCTCCCGTTCTACTGGGTCGATTGACGAAATTCAAATTTCGTTTTTCGCTTCTCGAAAGCGCAACTTAGAATATATATCAGATTTATATATAGCGTTGTTCCAATATAGATATTTTGACACAAAATCGGGCTTTTTCTGAAATGATGACATGCCAGTTATTTTCCATATTTCGATTCTACTACTCAAATTATGCCAAACTGCCACGTTTAAAACGAGTAGTGTTTTTAAAAAAAATTAGCTCGCAAAATTTTAGCTCCTCATTTTAATTTATTATTAATCCCTTTTTTTTATTAAAGTTATGTAATTTCTTCTTCCAGAATATGAGATTTAGGCTTAATCCAATATAATTCGCCCATTTTTTATGATTTATTTTTAAAATTTGTATTTTTAAATATTTTTTTATAAATTTTTCGAAAACAAATTTGTTTTATAACTTATAAAATTTTTAACATCATCTTAAAGTAGATGTATTTCTAGACACACCTGCAAAAAAATTAGAGTTTTTAGGTCAAGGTAGTAATGCAAAGGAAGAATGGAGGGAGGCAAACGTTTCGGTTTGAAGTTTGGATTTACAATTTAGTGATTGGTAGAGGCATCTGCATTAAGCGTTACGTTAGATTGCATGATTAATTTGAATGACGCAATTTAGACTTACAGCGCTATTTTTAGGACAGAGAGATGAAGTTCCCAAATGAAATAAAAAACAAAAGAGGTTATAGTGAGTTACATTTAGAAGTTCGCTTTTGTATGTTTTATCTTACATACATGAATTTACATATTGGCGCGTTTTGAAATTTGGCATATTTGTTAGAAACAACTATAACGCCAAATGTGGTTTGCGCACTTTATTAAAATTATTTGAAGGTATGAACGATGACTTCCGCTCGTTTGCAATGAAAAAAAGCAAAGTAAAATAGGTTGCCATAAATTAAGAAGTTCGCCAAGTAAAATATTCTTGGCGAAAACTGAAAAAATACGCCAAAATGAATTTCTGAATTTCTCCTTAAATGTAGTACAAAATTTTGCAAAATTTAGTATTTAGGCATAATTTGAGTCGTAGAATCGAAATATGGGAAAGAATTGGCATGACATTTCAGAAAAAGTCCAATTTTGTGTAAAAATACCTATATTAGAAGAACGCTATACATAAATCTAATACATATCCTAAGTCGCGCTTTCAAGGCATGAAAAACGCAATTTGAATTTCGTCAATTGCAGCAGTAGAACGGGAGATATAGAACTGTCAGATTTTTTTTTTTTTTTTTTTCCTTAAGTCCAAAGGGGCTTTGTCCCTGAAGGGCTATTGTTTTCGTTTTCCGATTTTGCGTTGGTTCACTATAAATGTCCGTTTCACTTTTCAAACTGTTGCCAGTAACTGTTGAGCCTGCGGATTTATTTGAAGAATTAATAATGAAAATCTGCATTAATGTATGTATACTTCTCGCATTGTGATAAAATAACGGTACATAGAGCCATCCAATTTTGAATGAGTACCTCACGAATATGGGCATGTGGAACCCAAATTTGAAATATTGGATATCATTTCACATAGAAAAACTTTAACGGTGGGTATGGACCGGACACAAGGAGGTGGTGACGATGATAGAATGCGAGAAAAAAACGGTAGGGGCAGATTTAAGAAGATGGGCGTGACAATCCAAGGGAGGTAGGCTGCGCCTATGGCGCAAAGATTTGCTTACGTATCTCTCCAGCCTGCAACGTTGATAAAGATAAGATATTGCGTGGCAATCATGCACGTTTAGGTGTGTGGCATACAGGAAGGGAAAGAAAAACTGCCATAATGACTGCATTAAAAAATATGAAAATTTTCAAATTTTGTAATTAAATAAACAATAAAATTTACTCACATCGTAGCTTGCACTATAAGATTAAAGGAATAATGTTTCTTCAATATTTTTTTTTTTAATATTTGAATCAAAATGGATGTGTTAAAAGTGGTTTATCATATTCCTTACTTTGATTTTTCTCTTTTCTTGCAGAACATTACTTAGACAGAAGGAAGCATTCTCATTATTACATGAAGGTGCGGCAGATCAATATCATGGATTATGTGACATGACGATTAGCGTCTTCGAGATTAGATTTGCACTTTCTCTTTTGATTTGCTACGGGATTCAAATGTGTCTTCTTTGTTTTTGTAAAATAATATTAAGAATTTTACCAAATTATTCAATACTAAAAGTTATTTTGATTATGTTATCTTTTATTCTGTTTACAAATTAAATCAAAGATTGTTCATGAGTAAGAATATATTTATGACTACTGAGAAGTTAGGAAGTAAATCCATTTTGATTATTATAACATTAAACAAGCAGCAAAAATTTCAAACAAACAAAGAAAAAAGTATTACTCCTGTTTACTAATCAATTACGTGATTGATTTTAAGCAATTCCTTATATTTGAGTAACCTACATGGGGAAATCCAGACACTTGATTTATACACTTGTGATTATCGGTTGGTTAAACACACAAGGGGTTACCTACCAAAAGGGAAAGATGCCTTCACGATTTTCTAAAAGGGAAACCGGCTTCTATTCACGCTACACATCGAGAAGCCTACTGAAACCAACCATGCAGCCAGTTCATTCGCCTGAGTTTGAGCTTATTTCAAATTCCCAGAATTCATCGGTCTTAACCACTTGGTCACTGACACATGTGATTCCTGTGCTACCATCAAAGGAGAGTAGACAAGTAACAAATGTCGGAAGACGGGAACAGCTTATGTTTAACGGAGGTAAACAGGTATTTGTCCCGCATTCTCCAATTATGTACGGTCATCAATTTCCTCGAGTCGCAAAAGGCTGTCTTGGGAGTTAACTGCAAACTATGGCGAAATTACACCGGCCTTACAAAGGCTTAGTACATCTGAGTCATTTAAATGACCAAAGTTATAATACAAAACTATGATACCGTTGCTTGCTTTTTGGTTCGTAATCGATTGAATGCACACAGAACCGATAATAGCTTGATAAAATTTATTTTACCGAAAGGAACACTTTTAATTTCTGGAACTTTCCACAAAAATACAGCTCTTCTTAGTATCATAGAGCACGATCAGAAGTTCCATTTCAAACTACTAAGAATGTTAAACACAATGCAATGCAAAGCGCATCTAAAGAGCGAAGCTCACATGGAGGTAATCTAAATACTCCGAAATCGACTCTGAACTAAAGAAAGGGAGAACTAAAGCTGTCTTCGGTCTTGTATAGTTTTCGCCCGGCTGCCAAGAATTCTTTCGTAACTTCTACTTCTCTAAATTACTGGAAGGCATATGAGAGCGGGATGTGGTTACAGTTACAAATCTACATTTATTGATTCACAATACCAATTACAGTTATACATGGATAGGACCCTAATGTAGCCTAATGGTAACCAAGTTTGACGACTTTTGGTGATTTCTCGCCAAATTTGGCGACAAAAAATAGTCGCCAAAACTGTGGCTATCTTGGCTATATCTCGCCATTTAGTGAGATGGCCATTTAGACTTGCAACTTGAAATTGCGCAATTTCTACTCAGATGGATAGGTTGAACTCAGATACATAGATTTTCGTTATATGAGCTATATTGTATAGATTTGCACTAAATAAGAACGTCAAACTAAATAACATTTACGATGCAAAAATAAATATTTTTGAACGCATGAGGCAGTAAGCTTGTTACAAAAAAAAAAAAAAAATATTTACAGACCCTCTTGAAAATCTTGCCCTAAAACGTTGGCGTTTAGGATAGAAATGGCACGAAAGCTTTGCCATAGCTGAAACATTGAATTACGATGCCCGTGAAAGTGTATGCGGAAGCTGCACAATGCACATGCTGTGTAATACGTACAATTATATATCATATAAATATTTTATATAAAATACACTAAAAAGACATTAAACTAGGTTAAATACACAATGCATATGTATACAGTATTAAATTATGATGCGAGTAAACATTTTTATGCATTTTACACAATACACATGCTACGCAGTATACACAATTATGTTTCACATAAATAGTTATGTAAAATACGATAAAATGGTGCTCGATTTGTTGCAACAACGATTTTGGAAACATATCCGAAAGACGAGCAAAACTTAGCTCACGGGTCTATTCATCGAGTAACGGCACGTCTTTTGTTCATCCTTTTATCCTTTTGCAACTTTCATCTCCACATAGGAATGTGAAAGAATAAAGTGGTGGTCTGAGTAAATTTTCGGGCATGATACTTTGGTTCATTTAATTAGGGTAAAATATTCGAGAGCTGTATGCTTAAGGGTAGGGATACCTTCATGGAGGGCTCTCTAAGGGAAACTTGCTCGTATGCAGATTACACATGGGAACTAAACATGATAGAATACCATAACTAAGAATCAAGACTTTTCCATTAGTTTTTCTCCTTTTAAGAGGATAATGTATGACTGTGGAACATTGGACTTATTGATTTCGATTTTACATTTTCAAACACAATATAATTTTGGAGGTCTTTAATATAAATATATTCGTGAGGGTGCAGTGTGCGCAGAAATAAGTGAGAAATTCAGTTTAAATTCCTGAGAAACGTATATTTAATTTTCACTGCCTATTCGAAGCTTTGATGAAGCAGTACATAATGTACGAATTTCGCCAACTGTGTTAACTTTATTGCGTGTCTACAAACAATTCTTACCCAATGATATTGCGTTGGTATATATTATTATCGAAGTGCACGCGCTCTTTTAAGGGTTCAGATCAGAATGGTTCGCTCATTGAAAAGAATAGCTCCTTTTCGATGACTTGCCTCTTATTAACAATAACTTTGAGGAAAAAGATCTTGAATAGGGAATGAATCAAGAGGAGTTTGCGAAGATGGGAAAAAGAGCGGAAATAATCTAACGAAAGGGGAAATCGGAAACAGTTAGAGGTTGGAACTAAGAGTGAAAACAGTGGAATGAGCACTGGAATCAGAAGAATAGATTCTATCAAACGCTGACTCACTAAGCTGATTTCTTTTAACTGTAATTTTGATATTCTTTTGAACCCACATTCTACATAGAAATAAAATTTACAATTCTAGAATGAAAAAATTAAAGAGTTGGAAAATCGTAAAATTAAACTCCCTTTTAACATGCGAAGATAAGCATTCGTTTCTCCCTTGAAATGGTAATCGAACCTTCTTGATAGGCTTCCAACAACAACTCTCTGTGAGTGGCCTTCTAACAAGAGCTCGGGGTGGGTGAACTCTAAAAGAGCTACTACTTTTTTTTTTGGCGAATCTGCCGTTTGCTAGCTCAAAGAACCGTTGCTTTAAAACAGTTTATTAACAAATAGCACACACTCATATACATACGTTAAAAGTCAGAAATATTTCTGGTAAATAATTAATAAAGAATGTTAGTGTTTACAAAAGTGTTAGTGTCACGTTACAAAATATCCTGGCGCGTCTTCAAAAAGAGGTCTGCGCTAACAATAAAAGAGTTACCATTCCGTTTTTAAGAATAAGTGTTCATTAGCAGCAAGTTGCAGGATAGCTACCAGCTGCATGCTTTGATAATTTTCTTCATCATCACCTTAGTGCACACCTCCAGGCATGCCACCAGACAGCATCACCTCGGGCATGTCAAAATTTCAAGAGGGACAAAGTCATTTATAGCGCTAGCCGCAAGGGAATGAGGAGAAACCGCCATTTTCATACTTAGCTGCACTATTGATATCTAATAATGCATTTAAAAAGTGCGTAAATGCCTACAGTCTTACCTAATACTGTAGTCTTTTTAAAACGTAGAATGAATATAAAGAAATCCGGGTAGTAGATAGATATGTATTGTTTCTTTCCAGACACATGATATCTTTTTTTCTGCAACCAGCTTTTGAATGTCTGCCCTCTCCAGTTGCAGGATCATGTAATATATATAAGTCGCAATATCATGTAACGTATGTATAATCTACAGTAGTTGTGCGAAAACATGGAATTCCACATCACAAGCTCGAAGAAATACGACTAATTGAGCTGCACTATTGGTATCTATAACATGTAACGGAATGAGCAATAAATATGACGCTTTTATTTGCAGTTCATAACTGAAATCGGTTGCCGCCTTAATTTTGGGTAGAGAGTGATGCTCAACCCTTTGGCTAGCACATTTTGGCCTATCGCGCGCAGTCCTGGATCTTGGGGGGGGGGGAGGAAACAAGGCGGGGTCTGTGCCCCGGGCGGCAAGTTCAAGAGTGGCGCTGAATTGTATTTGGAATGTTGTCAAATTTTGATGCAACATAATAGTTTTAAAGCCAGGATTAAAACCTCTTTTAAGAATATTTATAATTAATTACTCGAAAATTTTTAATGGAGCAAACAGTTTTAAAAATAAGCTAAGTACACCCAAACACGACTCTAAAGATAAGATCAGGGAAAGGACAATAGAGGGTGACTGAAAAAGTTAAAGGATCCTGTCCCTCTGCCAACACAACATGTAATTTTATTACAAAGGTACTCCGTAAACGGCTTGGTCTTTGGTCCCTGTAAGTGACGCTTAGAGCAAAGAATCTATATATCTTTCCCTTCAACTTCCCTCTCTTCTCCTCTCTCCTGGCTGAAATATTTAAATGAAAAACAGAACGATAAGTATAGAGGTGCCTTGTTTTTATACCAACGCCTCTTGCGAAATAAATGGAGAAGCATTGTAAATTGTAACTCTTTCCTAACACCCAATACAAATTAACCTTGGACCAATGAAATAATTCAAATTAATGTACGTCGAGAATATACAACAGAAATGAAGTAAGGCATTTTCATTTTTTGCAGCCAGTCAACAACATAGGTTTTAAAAATGGATTTTATTATTTTTATAGTTTTTAAAGTTTTTTTAGTTTTTTTTAATTCGGAGGGTTTTTTGTTGTCTCATTTTCTTTCCATATGTCTGCTTGTAGAATTCCTCACTATATTTAGCGAGGCGCAACCATTTAGTTAGCGCGCGCGTCTTCGACGCGGCCTTAATACTGTTGAATGTAATTACGTCATTTTTAGCTTTTCATATTAAGGCAAGTTATACTGTATATTATTTAGGGTGCAAGAAATCATGAGAGTGTCTAGGAAAAAACTCTCAGGGGCAGAATATAGAACCAGAGCAAAGGATAGGACCTAACAGAGGAAACAA